CAGTCCCACGCCTGCTCCAGGTCGCAGTGCGTCCGCCGCTGTTTGAGAGGCCGTCTTTAAGACGGAGAGTGGTCGGCGTGCGCAGCTCGGGGTGAAGCGAGGCCATCAGCGGGAAGAGCTCTGGCAGCTGCTTGTGGGTGCAGGCCCTGAGGTCGTCGATCATGCTGGCCAGGCTTGTGGGGAAGACGTTGTCCACGAACCTCAGCGGGCCCCAGCTTATCTGAGGACTCGAGGCTGTAGTCGCCCTGCAGGGCGGCCTTGGCCTTGGCCTTGGGCTTGGGCGCGGCCTTGGGCTTTGGCGCAGCCTTGGCCATGGGCATGGGCTCTCGGACTCACTCCCTGCAGTGAGTGCCCTGTGCTCCAGCTCCTCCCGCCGGGTCATGCTGACGGGCCGAGTTCGGCGTCTCCAGGTAAGGTAGTGGTCGGCCAGCTTGAGAAGGTCGTTCAGCATGGCGCGGACGGCGTGGTGCTTGTCGCTGTCTCGCTCGTGGTGCGTGAGCCTCAGCCTTAGCTCCTCGGGCCTGGGACGCCATGCTGCGGCACTCGGCCCGCGAGACTCCCATTCACCTTATCACCGACGAGCAGGCCTACAAGGACGTGCGGTCCTCTGTCATGGGTGGGCTGAGCTGCATTTTCCAGCCCTTCGCTCAAGCCAACAACCCCGAGCTGGGCGGAGGACGAGGAGCCCGTCAGCTGGATCTCGTACTTGGACTTCAACGCCATGTGCCCGGCCGCAATGACGCTGCCCATGCCCAACGGCGCGTGACGGTCGCCCTGCCGGAAGAAAACGCAGCAAGACTGAGCTGGCTGCACGAGACGTGCCTCTCGGGGCTGAACTGGTCCGACTCCGAGGAGGTGAGCTACCTGCTCCTCGTGGACTACGACTTTCCCCCGGAGGTGATGACCACTTGGACTGGGCTCCCCCCGCGCGCATGAAGGTCGGGAAGGGCCGCGCACCGCGATGGCGGAGCGCCTCGGCCTCTCCCCGTCGCCCTGCGAGAACTCGTGCCCTTCCTTGGCATGCGCGTAGAGGAGGGCGTGGACGGCAAGCGGCTCAAGTTCCTGCGGGACGTGCTGGGCGCCAGGGTCTGGAGGCTGCACAGGGCCTACCGCTTCGCCTGCGCCCCTTCATGGCGGGTTCATGGAGCACAGCGAGCGGAGGCAGCTCAAGACGGCGGGGAGCGTGGTCGCCGAGAAGGTGGTGAAGCTCACCCAGAAAGCCATCTTCGGCCGCTGCTGCATGAACCCGACAAGTTCAGGAACACGAACGCCTACGTGGACCTGGCTGCAGGACCCGCTCCACGCCATGGCCGAGGCGAACCTGACATGGAAGGACCCCAAGAGGGACCTGAGCGCGCTCTCTGCAGCGGCGCGCGCCAAGGCCATCGAGGTGATGGGGCAGCTGGGCAAGCTCGGCGACGAGACCTTCCCCGCCAGGATCCTGGAGTACGTGGGCCTGCGCTCCAAGATGTACAGCAACGGTCCAGCCCGACGGCGCGCGCAAGGAGAAGCGCAAATCAAGGGCGTGCTCTCGAGTACTGGGAGGTGCTGGAGGAAGGCAGCGAGCGCAGGGCGGCCTTCGCGCAGCTGCGCAGCCGCGCGCGCGAAATCACCGTGGAGACCGTCGAGAAGAAGTCGCTCTCGCCCTTCAACGACAAGGTCTACGGCCTCAACGCTCACAACTCACGCCCGCTGGGACACTGGCGCAACCTGGAGCAGCTGCGGATGCTGGGCGCTTACGCTCCGCCAGGCTCGCGCCCCCGCCTCTGGGGCCCGCTCCGACACTGCCGCTGCGGCTGAGCCGCTGCTGGGCGTAGACTGTCGGAACCGGAAAAAAAGATCCCAAGCTCTCGTTTCTCGCTTTCTCGCTTTCTCGATAATGATTATTCGATCCGCCGCAGCTGCTCAAGATGACTTCCTCAGCGGCCTTCCGATGCGTGCAGGCATGGTTTCTGGAGAAGCCCGCCGCGTGGGTGGACGAGGACGCTCCCTGCCTTGCGGCTGCTCTGATGGCCCAGCGGCCTCCCTGCGACATGCCCTCGCTGCGCTGCGAGCTAGGGAGCGCGTTGGGGAGCTGGAGCGCAGCAACAGAATTCTCCGCCAGCGGGTGGAGCACCTCGGCGAGATCCTCATGCGAGCGCACAGATGAGCTTGAGGACGCGCAAGCAAAAAAAGATCCCGAGCTCTCGTTTTTCTCGCTTTCTCGATAATGCTGATTCGATCCGCCGCAGCTGCTCAAAATGCTTCCTCGGCGGCCTTCCGATGCGTGCAGGCATGGCTTATGGAGAAGCCCGCGTTGGTGGAGGAGGACGCTCCCAGCCTTGCGGCCGCTCTGATGGCCCAGCGGCCTCCCGCGCGGCCTCGCGAGGATGCAGTGCTCGAGGCCGAGCGTCTGCACCACCGGAGTCTCATCGCGGCCCTTGAAGAGGATCTCCTCGTCGAAGCTGCGCGCTGTGGGATTCTCCGCGGGATGCTGGAGCGCAGCTACGATCGCAGTGAGCGAGATCTAGCGGAACTGCGGATGGTGCGGGAGCGGGCTGCTCTGCTTGAGGGGGGGTCAACCGCGAGACTTGGCGCCGTGAGGCGCTGGAGCGCCGCGTCGAGATCCTCGAGGAAGAGAACAGAAATCTTCGCAGGCGAACGCTCTGATGAGCTTGGACTCGCGCAAAGAAAAAAAGCCCTCCAAATGCTTGAATGGTCCAAATGCTCGAATGGTCTCAAAAAAACCCGCCGCAGCTGCTCAAGATGACTTCTTTCAAGGCCTTCCGATGCGTGCAGGCATGGCTTCTGGAGAAGCCCGCTGCGTGGGCGGACGATCCCTGCCTTGCGGCTGCTCAGATGGCCCAGCGGCCTCCCACCAAGCGGCCTCGCGAAGACGCGCTGCTTGAGGCCGAGCGCTCGCACCAGCGCCGCCGCATCGAGCTCCTCAACAAGCATCTGCTCGGTGAGGAAGCGGAAGTCCGACGCCTCGAGAAATGCCTCGTTGCGAACGTGGACCTGGAGGAAATCATGAGTGAGGTGGACCACGTCTCTGCGGCCACGCTCCGGCCACGCGCTCCCAGCGGGCAGAGCTTGCCCTGCGCTGGTTTGAGGCTCATGAGACGTGGGGCGGAAAGTGGGACGCGTGGGACGCGCTCCTAGATCACGGGGGCCCGTCCGAGCCCCCGCCCCGACCCGACGTGAAGAAGCTCGTCAGTGAGTGGCGGGCGCGTGCATGGCCACGCAAACATTTGCCCTGCCAGGTACAACCCCACTCTGAAGGGCGGGTGATGAGGCCTGCGGCCCAGCGGGCTCGCTTATACCGGGGTTGCCTGAAACACTGAAGGGGGGGTCAACGCGCCTCCTGTTCCAGGCGCACCAGTGCCCTGGAAGCAGTGCTACTTTCAGCAATCCCGGTAAAAAGAACTGCGGCCGCTTCGGACTTGCTTTGTTCTTTTGGGGGTTCATGTTTGGGTTCAAGCTAGGAGCAGTGCAACATGCCTTAACGCTTAGGGTTTCTTTTCCCTTGTGTTTAGGGCATGTTGTGAATCGAACTACGCGTTGGCCGTTTTGCTCCTAGCCTTAACCTGCGGTTTCATTTGAAACCCACCCACCCACCCTGCACTGCCTTATACAAGGCTCTGCAAGTATAGGTAGCAGACACTCTGCACTTTCATTGGTGGTCTCCGGGCCTCTTGGTCTCCGGACCAGGTCTCCGGACCAACTCTGGTCTCCGGACCTCGGGTCTCCGGACCTTTCGGTCTCCGGACCTTGGGGCGTGGGCACGCATGCCGCGCCCCGCAAGCACTGCATTTGTATGCAAGGACACGCATTGTCTTGCCTTTTCAAATTTCAGGGGGGTCAACGCGCCTCCTGTTCCAGGCGCACCAGTGCCCTGGAAGCAGTGCTACTTTCAGCAACCCCGGTAAAAAAGAACTGCGGCCGCTTCGGACTTGCTTTGTTCTTTTGGGGGTTCATGTTTGGGTTCAAGCTAGGAGCAGTGCAACATGCCTTAACGAGTTAAGGGTGTTCAAAACGCATTGTTGACCACGGGGGCATATGAGGAGGCTCCGCAGAGGGGTGCAGATACGGGGAAAGGACTTTCCCCCTGCACCTCTGAGCCTCAACTTCCAAGCGACGCCTTATAAAGAAAAAGAGCGTGCGCGCATGTTTGTCGGTCGCACCCTTTTATCTTGGACTGCATGTTCCCTTTCGGATTGAAGCAGTGATCAAGATTCTAACTGCTGAAAAGACCCCGTTCCGCACTGCGCGCGTGCCTGGCAGATGGTAAGCACTCCCGCCTAAGAGCGCCTCAAGCGCACCCTAGCAGCACTGCACGCGCGCCTGGCAGATGGCAAGCGCGCCCGCTGCAAACATGCCTGGCGGATGGTCAGGGCACCTGCTCCTGTAGCTGCCGCAAGGGGGCTTCGCATTCCTGTAGCCACTCTAGCGGCGACGCGAACCCTTCGCATGCTTCCCGGAAAGGTCGGAAGGTTTGTGTTATTGGGGTTATTAGGGTCTCTTGGTTTTTGGCCAGAGCGGTTTCAGACTACGTATTTAGTGTTGGGCTCAAGTTGGAAATGGGAATTCTTTTGTTTTGCAAACAAAAACGCAGAACTTGTGAGGAAGAACGTTTACAGCGAAGACGCCCTTGGTTCTTTCTTATCCTTGGTTCCTAAGAATACACACCGCTAATCAAACCTAGTGTCACAAAACGCTGAAGTTGTTCCTAGATGCTGTTTGCGGTTTCTCGCAAGCATAGCGCGAGCCATGCAGGCTCCAATCAGTTAGTTGAGATTTGTGCAAGGTTGTGTGACCTAATCATGGTTCGAAGCTGGATGAAAGTTTGGGCGCGATTCGTCATCAGACGCATTGTTGCCCCAGATGACTGACCACACAACAACCTCATGATATGAGCTTGTGGCATGGCCAATCAAATTGATCGAGCAACGCTCCCTGAACAAAACCAACAGAATACCGACTGCGGCAAACTAGCATCCGGAGTTGTTTTGCCACTTGGGGCGACTTCATAATTGAGTGAAAACTGCAGTTTTCACCATGCATGTCAGCGCAGCCCATGGGGGAGCCAACACCTCCTCCTGAAAGGCTTGGCTCGGTGCTCGAATCACTTGATCACTTGACTGCGACAGGAGAAGCTTCTTCGTGCAGACCCTAAGTGCTTGCGCGATCGCCGGTGCCATCTGGCTTGTGCAGGTGTTTCGGCGAAACCGACAGGCCGGACATGCCTCTACGAAATTGCTTCTCCGGCTTTTGTGGCGTTTACTTTTCCTTACGAAGGCACAGCATGACCAGTTTCTTTGACGCAGCAGGCTGAGCATGATTGTCATGTTGCGCAAGTGGCTCAGGCTGGGAATGTGTGCAAAGACCGCATGCGCACAAGCTGTAAACTTGACTCAAACCCAAAAATCGAAAAGGGGGGGGGACTCGACTGAAAAGGACAATGTGTAGCATCCAGTTGCCGTGTAGCATTTCCCTTTGCGGGTTCAAGACTCCGTGACTCTTTGTGCAGCCGCGTGGGCTCCGACCGCCAACGGCTGTAGCTCGCATGCGGCGCCGTGGTTTGAGAAGATTTGAAGCGCCCGAGCCTCCATGGCCTCCGGGGCCTCCGGGGCCTCCGGGGCCTCCGAAGCTTTGAGTTCACATCGCAACCGCGATGTTCGCTTTCGCTGAGGTCATGTCCTTTTTGAGACGACTCCATGCCATCCTCGTGGCATTCCATGTGCTCTTTTCCGCATATGAGTGGGGAATTCCTTCATGCCGAGTCGCAGGTTCATGCAATTCATGACTCTGACCGAGCTCAAAGGCCTGTGCCATGCCATGGTGGGTAGCGCTGTTTGTTGGCACTTCTCAGGAGTGATGGCCAAGATGAGCTGATGCGACGGGACGGCCCGAGGGTACGCACTGGCTATTGCAATATTGCAGCAATACAGGGTCCACACATTCTTCTCCCAGGTGCGCAGATCTGCGGCGCTTGTAGAGGACTTCGGTGACAAGGACTTCGATGATGCACATCCTGACGCTGACGCGGGGAACCCCAAACTGGGCCAGGGCTCGCTTCTGCTTGATCAGGCGCTGCTGGAAGGAGGCATGCAGGCCGTACGGAATCGCCTGGCACATGCAGAGGCCATTAAACTTTGCTTCAGCGGGCATCGACATGACATGGCACAGGCGATCAGGGATGAAGGCGCCTTCCAGGCCTGCCATCTGGCCTGGCCTGGCATGGCTTGGCATACCCAAACGGTGTCAGGCTGCGCTGAAGGAGGGGGAAGCCGTCGGGTTGGACGAGAGTGAGCTTGCGGCTTTCAAGGCCTGGGTGAGGGTGAGAGGGGTGAGAGATGGTTTGCCTGTTTTTACTTCGCTGGAAGCCTTCACGTTTGATTTGCTAGCAAGAGCGTGTACATTGCACCCAAAGAATGAGGTAATAGTGAGCAAACTGGATCTCAACCTGAGAGGAACATACGCTTTTGAAGCGCTGCTTCGGTTCTGGGAGCGGCTTTGTGAGTCGGGAACAGGAGACCTTCAGTCAGCCGCAGATCCTCGCAGATGAGTTCCGCGCGGAGGCATTCGGCTTCGCTGCTTCGCTTCACACCGATTTGACAAAACGCCTCACTGAGGCTCTGCTCGCGAAGGAGGCGCGCTCCGTTGCCCGGTGTTGCCCGGTGTTGCCCGGTGTTGCCCGTTGGCGGATTGATCGATCAGGCTGCTGAATCTCCAGAATCTGAGACGCCAGACCCGAACGAAGATCCAGCACAGGCGGTTTCCATTTTGCGGGTTTCACTCGCGGTTTGGGCGCGCAGGCATTGATTGAAGAGGATCAGCAGCCTTATGGGTCCTATGGCGACTATGGGTCTGTCCAGTCCTCATTGCCAAAGGTCTAGAGGTCTGCTTGGACATGTTAGCACATGTTTGGACACGGTTGGACTCAGGCTTATCCAACAGTTCAGGCGGCAGCTCAGGCAGTTTGGGAGAAGTCTTTCAGCTTGGCTTTTGCAGCTTTGCAGGCCCTTCCCAGCTCGTACTCCTCAGTGCCGAACTTGAGAATGGGAGTTGGTTCGGACCCGGCCCGGATTTCCGGATTTGGGAGAGAATGCGCTCAGGTCTTTGCTCCGGCGTGCGTTCCTCACAGAGCAAATTGAGTCTGCGAATCCCTCCAGACTGAGGCCAGGGCTGGACAAGGTCAAGGTGTCAGCCACCGCGGACACGGAGAAGGCGGGTGTCGAATTTGCTCCAAGGGGTGCATTGGCCTGCTGCAAGGACAAGGAGATCGACACCAGCAAGATTGACTACGTAGGACTGCTTGCGACTGGTTGCGACTGCACAAGGCAGTCTCACTGCATTTCTCTTTTTGCTTTTTGCAGACACGCCTTGATTGCCAATGAGGATGCATCATTCCTCAGTGGGCGGCTGCGTTCTCAGCGTTGGTATGTTGGGCTTCGAGCGCATTGACTCGAGCCAGGACGGTGATTGGATATGCATGGAAGCCGCAGACGTCCCGGCCACCCGGCTGCACCCGGCTGCACCCGCTTCAGATGGGAAGATCAAGCACTTGTTTAGATTGGTATTGCCGCGTTTGATCTGGACGCTGCAAAGGACACCCAGATTTACGATGATGCCCAACACAGGCATGGCGGCATGGCTGTTTGTGCGTTTACGGCTCAGAGCTCGCACGCCCAAATGTGAGGACGCGGAAGAAGTTACGTGAGGGCGATATTTGCACAGTGCAGTGTCCCGATCCACGATACTGGCAGGACACCGCAGTTTTGTTTGCACATCTTTCGCCTCAACTCAGTTCTTGTGACTTGCGGGGATGGTCATTTGCCAGAAAGCGGAGCCAGCATCACTGGTGTGCAAGAGCGGCCGTTGGAGAGACGAGGCGGGGTAAGCTCAATAACTTTTGGTGACAGAGAGAGCTGACTTGAAATTGGATCAAGCATGGTTTGGCTGGAGACTCGGATGCAAAGCTTAAGAGGTTCAGTGTGCATGGCCTTGACAGACTGCATAAGCACCCTTGTTCGAGGTGTCCAGAATCAATGTGAAGAAGATCGAATGCGAAACTTCTGGATGCTTGGCACAAAAGGATTGCAAGTGCCCTCCGCTTTCCGAGAAAGGATGGGTTAAGCGTCAATTCTAAGGTCGCTGGTTCTTCTTCTTTTCCTTCATTGCATTTGGTGTGCCTCTTTGCTGCGCTGGAGCCGGAGTGAGCGCCTTCCTGAAGATGCGCAAGAAGAAGGCGCCAAGAGGCCGAGGGGTCGCCATTGACTTTGACTTTGCAAGGCGGGCGCGGAGGCTGGCAGTGGCTGCGCTTGCTTCACGAGCCGTCACGAGCTGTCAAGCGACTCGCAGGAGCCCCAGCCCAAGGAGAACGAGGAAAACGAGGCCGCTGAGGCCGCTGAGGCTGAGCCCGCTGGCGCGGGCGCGGGCGCCGAGCCGGAGGGGGCCCAGAGCGCGCCTTCCCAGCCCTCGCAGTGAGAGCGCCGCGTCAATTCATTTGGAGCCCGAGTCCACGTTTCAGCCAGACGGACACAAGCCCGAGAGATGCGAAAAGTGCGTTTCGGCAATGGGTTCTCGAGGAGACCTCTTAGTTGAGACCTCCTTGACTCTTAGCCCTTTTGGGCGAAGCAGGTGCGCAGAGAGCATCCACTGGGCTCGGGATCCCAGTTGAGTTTCAAAAGTGCTTCGCGTTCGACTGGGCTCCAGGTGCCAACAGCTTTCTGGCCAAGGCCGGACTTGAGTCCTTGCTCAGCTGCTTGGCTGCTTGGCTGCTTAGCTGCTCAGCTCACTTCACAGGCGGGAGAGCACATGCCGCTGATAGCGGATGGTCTGGTGTGTCGACCTCGAGTCAGAGGAGTCAGAGGAGTCAGAGGAGTCAGAGGAGTCAGAGGAGTCAGAGGAGTCAGAGGAGTCAGAGGAGTCAGAGGAGTCAGAGGAGTCAGAGGAGTGAGAGCAGAGAAGTCAGAGCCGAGGTGCCTGCACAAATACAGGGGTCAGTCCTCCGGCTCAGTCCAGTCATGGGGATGTCACAAGAGGTCGGCCGAGTTGAGGACCGAAGCAGAAGAACGTGCCAGGGCTTTCTCACTCCAGAAGCACCTGAGCAAGGAACAGCTGGTCCTCAAGTGGCAAGAATACAATTGCAGGCATTGCAAGCATAGCATGGGCAGGATGGCGCTCTGGTGAAGGCAGAGACAGAGGGTACAGGGTGAATCGGAATGCACAGCACCTGACATCGCATTAATATCAAACAAGAAGTCAGAAATCAAATTCATCATTTTGTCATTGTGTTCTTCTCTTTTTCACTTTGTTCAGCATGTTCAGCATTCCACGCAGTTGGCGGAGCTGCTGCCTGGCTCCAACTTGATCGCTTCGGCACCGGGCCGAGATCGAAAGTGCTTCGGGGCAAACGACACGGACGGGGCTTCATCTTTGACAGGCCGTGCTGGACCTTCAAGGCCATCACAAGGAGGCTCAGGAATGCCTTGAGCCGACCCGGCCCGCTTGCCTGCTTCCAGTGTCCCAGAGAGCGTAGGGTATCAGCGCGCCAGCCTGCTACAAAATTGGCGCAACTTTGGAAGTGCTGACGGCGCATTGACGAAGGCCGGCGCGCCTAGTGTTGATGGAAGCGGCGAGTTCGCCTGCGCATTTGCATCCAAGCTGCGAAACAGAGAGAGCAGTTGGCAGGTTGCGGAAATGCTGCCCGGGGTGGACGTCGGGCCTTGAATTGAGGCAGAACGCCGCTTGTCCTCTCCTGTTTTTTCAGGTCATTGCCTTTGGCGTGCATGTCAACGCCGGCAACTTTGCACATGTCGTGCTCCCAGCTTTCCCCAAAAATCGAGCTCGGATATATTCCGTTGCAGGCACTCCGCAGTATCGCCAAGACGCGCTGGACGGATGTCACCGCCAGCGCCCCAAGTTCCAAGTCCCAAGTCCAAGTCTCGTGCAGTTTTTCCTGGGTTTCCCTTGAAGGCTTGAAGGACTGAGAAAGTGGAACACTCAGCACGCTTAGGGCGATGCCACCATTACCTTTGACCTCCGCTCCCTGGCGGAGCTTGCCATCAAGGACCTGCAGGCCACCATCAACTTGACACATGGGACATGCATTTCACGAGTTTCTCATGCATCAAGTGTATTTTCAGTGTGTTAAGTGTATGAAGTGTTGCCTTGCGAGGTCTCGAATTGCGAGGTGCTCCCAGTGGCAAGCTTCATGTATGGAGGCAGTTCTGGAGTCAGGTTCCGAGTCGGCTGCCGCACTGTTTCTTACTTTCTCCAGTTGTGAAACACCTCTCCAAGGCAACGTCCAGGAAAGATTGGGCCATTCCAATTACATAGGGCTGTTGCCCCACCAGTGCCTGAATCCGTGTCCGTTTGTCAGTTGTATCCCCATCAGTCATTCCAAGTAAAACTTCCCCACCTTCCCAAGGACAGCATTCCCAGCATATCCAGCATTACCAGCATCCCCGGTATATTCAACGGCGGTCCAGCATCACAAGAATCACTTAAATACGACCATCTCTGGCACAGCTGTCATTCTATTCCCAGTGCTGCGGATTTGGACAGCTGCATCCCCAGCATCACCAAGATCCTCAGCATCCAATGTTTCCAGTGTTCCACGCATCCCCGAGCGCCACAGCATCTTCAGAAGGAGGCAAGCCGTTTGGCCTTGCAGGTTTGTTGGACATGGCCATCAACTTGATTGAGGCATGCTCGGGGACAATGCTGCCCGGATACATGCCCCTCTTGCCAGGTCAATTCTATTGGGCAGAGCAGTGCATCCCTCGGGCGGCTGGGAAACGCAAGGGTAGTGACGATTCTTGCCGAGGATCAAGGTTCAGGTGGCGCCGTGTCAAGCGAGTGGAAGCTGCGAGCTCCAAACGCAGGCGTGATCTCAGACACGCGTTGCACATCAAGTGTATCCTGATGCAAGAAACAGAATGCGGATGTGCGAGGGATGGGGGGAAGGTCTCCTCCAAAGCTGTGTATTTTACATATTAGTCATAGACAAGCCAGAACCACGGGAGCCGATGTGCCTTGGTGTTCAAGACGCAGATGCCCTATGTTCAGGAAACGACACGAGTTGGGTGTTTGCTTGATTACATTGGGTGGGAAGAGCAATCATCCATCGGAGTTCGTGACTTAATGTTGCGCGGACGTAGGTTGATAGGTGTATTTGCAGAACGGCTTGTGTCTTCCCGCAAGCTGACGCTCTTGAGTTTAGAAACACGCGCACACACACACACACTAACAAAACACTCTCACAAGCGCAAGTCACACGAAATAAATCGTGCACATCAAAACAATCGCATACACAGAGCCCGGACACGTTCGTTGTGTAAGAGATTCCAGGCTCAGCTGGGCCAGCTCGCCGAGCCCCACCCCGCAGGAAATGCCCACTCCGCCCACTCCGCCCAACCGGACTTCCAAATGACTGCGCGGCGTGGGTCAAAGACATGAAGCTCAAACATGACGCCCACAATCAAAAGCAAAGTCTACTGAGTAGAGACAGCGCCGAATTCAAGCAAGCAACCAGCGCAAGGATGCGTTTCGGTCTTGGGCTGCGAGGGAAAGTTTCAAGGGTATGTCCACTGACTTTTGCTTTGACGCGCAAGTCTCTCCATTTGCGAAGCAAAGATGCGTCAAGCTCATGGTGGTTTCCAAAATCCACGTAGAGGCATCGTTGTCCAAGCACACAACAAGCAATGCTTGCTATTTAAGAACTTAGTCGGGCCCCAAACACACAACATGCAAAGTCCCCGAATTACTTTGGTGGACCCCAAGCATCCCCAAAAATCCTGGAGGGCCTATTTTTGAGTGGGGAACGGACCTCATGTCTGGAATAGCTTTCCCACACGGTGGTTTGTGACAACAATTTGCGAGTCTGCGAGGAACAGGTTGACGGAGGTACAAAGGCAACAGAGAGGCTGCGGCAAGTCGTCTGCAATAATGTCCCCCGGTGTTTGAGTGGAACCTATGCCAGTGTGTTCCCGCAGTAGTCCAAGTTGCGCCTGCTTTTTCTTTAGAATTATCCCAACAACTGGGCTTGAGGACCCCGTTGGACTTATATCACGTTGCGAGAGCGGCTACATGCCAAAGAACAACTGTTTATTTTGTTTGTGCGTGAACTTGCAGGTGTTCCCGAGGGATTGAAATGATTGAAAGCGGCAATTTCCGGAGCCTTTGCAGGAACCCCATGTCGTGGGCCAAGGAGATTCAGATGGCTGTCGTCGTTTGTGCGGCCTGAAACCGCACAGGACCGCCTGGTTGCCAGCTGCAATGACACACTGTCTGGCCTGCAGGCAGGCCGTTTGCTGCACAGCATTGGAGCTCCTTGCGTGGGACGGGCATGGACAGGACACGGTGCTGGAGATGGTGGGAGCCTTGATTTGTGATTGGATTTGAGCTCAGAAGCTCAGTTCAGCTCAGTTCAGCTCAGAAGCTCAGGTTCCGCACATGGTGGAGTGTGGTGTTACTGCTGTGGGCTTGGCAGATGGCCTCTCGGTTTGTGAGCGGGCGGGTCCATGCGGGTCAGGTGGCAAATCGCGTGCTCCGGCGACGGCGACGCGAGAGTTGGCTGTATTGGCTGATGCTGCCCAAGGCGCGCACGGGTTGCTCAGGTTGCTGAGGTTGCTCTGAGAGACTCTCTTCAGGCTTTGCCCAAGCCGCCGCCTCAGCTGGACGAGGAGAAACCGAAAAGGGAAGTCACGAATAGAGAAAGACTTGAAAGACTCAAAAGCTGAAGCCTTTCGTTTCTGAGAGAGAAATCGTCAAAGTCAGGAGCTCCAGCTGAGCATCTTGCGGATCACCGCAGCCCACCGCACGGCGGCGCCGCCCCAGCCTGTGGGCGCTCAGGCCTTAGACTCGTCGCCTCGCGTCTCAGGCCACCTTCGAATCCGTCTCGACACAAGCGCGCGATCTTGCGCGATGCGCGATGCGCGATCTTTCGCCATTGCCAGGCTGCTGCCATAAGGCCTGGAAGGCCTGGGCGGGTCAAAGGAAGGTTTCGATTGGCAAATCACACGGCCCTTGTGGCTCTGAAACTTCAGCGTTTGTCGGCGCAACTAGTTTGGGAAGGGGGAATGCGCGGGGAGTGGATCGAGTGGATGTTTGCATGAGCCTGACAATTCCGAGATGGCACGTGAGGCTTGACTGCGCTGCAGCCTGTACACTATGCAGCGGCCTCGTTTTGAAGCGGCCTGGCAACCAGAAGTCGCAGACTTCACGTGAGTCGAGTCGATGAGTCGACTTCGTCTCAGGCCTGGGCTGCGGTTTGCACTCCGCGGCGCGGGCCTGAAGGGACTTTTTCGGATGGCCGGATGGCCCGGCCGGGGCTTGACTGCCAGGGCTTGGCCTGTTTGTCGGGCTGCTTTCTGGGCGCGGCCGAGCTTGGCCGCTGCTTGCGCAGAAGGCACTCGCATAGCTTCGTGGCTTCGGGCTCGGATGGCTATGTGAATGCGAGCGAAAGGTTCGCACCCATTCTGAACCGCTGGAACGCCCAGGTGCTTTTGAGTGCTTTCAAAGTGCTTTCAAAGTGCTTTTGTGTTTCCGGCTCGCGCTTCTGCTTTTGCAGGCGTGGTCAAATGCCACGAAGGAGCCCAATGAGGTTTTCCGCCGAAGGCCATCCACCTCCATCCAGCCTTTGCGTCCACCTGAGTCCATAGGTCAAGCGAGTCCAGTGCCGAGCCTCTGCGACTGAGGCGCGAGAGAGAGAACATGAGAACATGGCCTCTGTGCACGCATTTGCCGAAGTGGGAAATCCAATTTCCCCACTTCCGATATTGCAACCTGATGTGTTGATGTGCAAGGCTGCCTCTTTGCGTTGTTGCTGAGCTCGAAGGCTCAGGGTCTCTATGCCATGCTCGACTAGATGAGGAATAGGTTCTGAACCTTTGGAAGGCCTTGAGCTGTTGTCTCGAGGCAAACACGTTGTTTCTCCTGCCTTGTTCTGATCTCCTTCGGCCTTCTTTCTGGAATGGCCTTCGGTTAATCCCGAGTGGTGCCATGGTTGGGGTGAATTCACGAGCATGCTGATGTACAATCCCAAGCCGACATCGGGCTTTGCTACAGTGAGCATATAGGATGCCCAACTTTTGGAGCCTTCTGTTCGAAGGGATCCTTCCGAGTGACCTTTGGAGCGAAAACGGCCATTCGATAGGTGAGCAAGCAGAGCGAGTAGTGGCGAGCTTGTGTGACTATGTCTGGAAAGAGGCCGGTAAGCAAGTTGCTTGCCGAGCACGAGCGACGGAGAGAGCTCGAGCGAGCTCAGGTGCCCCTAGCAAAGCTTCTTGGGCGCACCGGACTGAGTCAGAGGGGGCCCCAGACCTCGCGGAGACGCTATTCAAGCCTTCCGCAGGCGGTTCAGTTTGATTTTTTTGCAAGAATGTGTGTTCTTTTGTATACTGAGGCTTACGGGTTGGCGCCTTTGTGTCGAGTGCATCGATCGGTTCCGTTTTGAAGATGCGAGGTCTTCTGGCCTCCTGTGTCGGGCAGGGCACCCGCGGCATTCGCGCCGGTCGCGCGGTCGCATTCGAATTCGAGGTGCCCAGTGGTGCCTGTCGTGGTGGACCTGGAGGCGCGAGACGGAGCGAGTTTGCATGGAGCTCGGATTTCACGGTTCGGAGTTTGAAACTGAGGTCTCCGAAGGTTTGTACAGTGTTGGCGGAGAGACGCTCTGGTTGCCAAGGCAGGAAAAGCTCAAGGGAGCGCCTTGCGTTTCCGATTCTCGCAGTTTCCCCCTGGCGCTGATCCTGAAGTGCCATCTAGAACGGAGGCAGCGTTCTCAGATCTCGGAGTGAGCCGTGTATCTGCATCTGAGGCCCTTTGTATCTTCTGTACAGGTGGCCGTGACAGATGAAATCGTCGACCAGGCCCTCGGGTCACGGCCGTCACGGGCGCTTGGTGCTTGCGCGCAGCCAGCCAGATCCTGGATGTTGTGCAGACGGAGCTCCGAAGCCTGGACTTGAGGTGGAAAACCGTGAGAGGGCTCGGAAGCCAGACTCCAAAGCTGCAAAGCTGAGTGCGCAGGGCCCTAGACCCTCGCCTTGCCGGCTTCGTCGAGCCCATCAATTTGCAGCTCCAGGCGCGGCAAAAAAAGGCGAGAGCCCGAGTTCCTTCGGGTGACTTCGGACTTGCTTTGAGGCCATGCTGTCCTGGCCGCACGCGACAACCCTGAGGCCATGCCAACCCACTGCACTGCATGTCGGGTGCGAGCTGCGAGGCTTGACCTGCAGGGGATCAAGGTGCACCTGCGACTTCCTGCCTGACCTTTCGGCCTAAGAGCTGAGCACTTTTGCCAATGGACGACAATAATGGTGCTGAAGCTGCATGCAAGATGCAAGCGCATGTCCAAACATTATCGACTTTGAAGGTGTTGGGATGTGTTGGACAGAAGCTTTCGAGAGGCCTTGCTCTGTTTAGAAGCATGTTGCTTGCGCTGCCTTTGGCTCCTGTTTGCTTTCTCGCCCGGCATTCAGTTCAGTGCCCAGATGAGATTCACAGCAGTACCATTCGGGCATTCCTTGAACCTAAGGACAACAGAGTCTCTGCCAGCACAGCGTCATGGAGGAGGAAGATGGTGCGCCTACGATGTTTTCAACCTGGCCGATCTTGCGCCTGCAACCTTTGTCGTGGCGAGGTTGCGATCACCTCTACAAGGCCCTGATCGCAAGTTCTCATTTGATTCCCTCGCTGATGTTAGCTCTCTCTCGCTCGCTGCCAGGTTGTGCTTGTAGGCGATGCCACTGTTGGGAAGACTCATCTCCTCTCGCGCTACGTGAAAGGCGCAGCTGAATCTTCCCAGTCCGGACATGGAGGTGATGCTTGGAAGGTACTTTGCCAAAGGCCCCAACAGCGACCATTGGTGTGGAGTTTGCCACGCGCGTGAGTCTCAGAGCAAGATTCTGCCCTCCTTGCAAGGTGAGCCCAAAATGCAGTCCATCCCTTGCCCATCTTAGTCTCACCGCCTCAAAGAGTTGGTTTTGTGCAGAGACAGCTCTTGGCTTTGTATCAGTTTCGCAGCTCAACAAAACCCAGACGTCAAGGGTTACTCGGGTTACTCGGGTCTTGCAAGGCACAATCCCGCTGGCTGTGGGTGGTACAGTCAAGGCCAGGAGTCTCTGAGAAACACTTCAGAGGCTGTTCGCTGGCAGGCTCAGATCTGGGATACTGCAGGGCAAGAAAGATACCGTGCAATCACCAGCGACTTGTCCGCATTGGATGCGGCAATGCAACCTGCGCTCGTTTTTGTGTGTGTGTGTGTGTCAATGTAGCAGGCTCACACTACCGGCGGGCTGTGGGAGCATTGCTGGTCTACGCAGCTTGGTTCGGAGGTTTTTTCTTTGCTGCCTTTCCTGGCAACCTCTTTGGGACTCTCAGGATGTGACCCGAAACGCAACCTTCCAGAATTGCCGCTTGGGTCGGCACAGCTCGGCACAGCCTGTCGGCAGACGTGTGGGTTGGCAAAGTTGGACGACTTTCTCTGAGACACGTTTTTGGTTTGAGGCCTGAAATGGCTGGAAGAGTTGCGGCAGAATGCTGAGCCGAACATCAGCATCATGTTAGCAGCGCCCCCAGGGATCAAGCCATCAAGCCAGTCACGAAAAGACCTTTTTGCACAAGCTGACCAGTTGCAATGCTTTTTCACAGCCGGGGCTCGGGAGGTCGGGAACAAGCTGGACCTGGTGGAGAAAGACCCAACTGCTCGACAGGAGGGAACTTTGAATTTCACTGGATCCCATGGCTTGGGGCGCTTGCGCAGGTGCACTACGACGCTGCCTTGGAGTTCGCGCGGCAGCACAAGTGATCCTGCCCTGGTTGAGGGAGCGGGAGGGAGCGGGAGGGAGCGGGAGAAACCCTTTTTCATCTGGCAAGGCTCCTCTTCAAGGAGGCCAGTGCTGTAACGTCGGGTCTCCCGGAATGTCTTTTGCCCATTTCAGGCCTGGTGTTAGCCCCAATCTGAGGACGTACAATGTGAAGCACGTCTTCGAGCAGCTGCTCCAGGAAGTGTACAATCAGGCAGGGACGCTGCACAGCTGTCCGACGGAAGTTCTCCCACTCGAGAGAGAGCGCGCAAGGCGTCAAAGAACGCCAAACAGCAGAAGCGGGAGCCGGGGGGCATCCAGATCCAGCCCGCACCTCAACCCCTCAACCCATGCTCGAACTCTGAAAGCGGTGATCGCTTTCCGAGGCCCGGTGGGACAATCCCAGCGCAAGAGGACAATTCCTGCGGTGGCCAGGCCAGTGCGTTCCTAACTGGACCCTCATTCAGCCTGCCAGTTTGTGGGCAGCAGGGAGTTATTCTGTGAGAGACTTGTAACCGCGAGGCCTGCTGACCGGCATGTGACTCTCCACTGCAGACAGGGCCTTTGGCTGCTTTGCACAGCTGTGGCGAAGATCAGGTCCTCAGCCAGATTCTAAACAAAAAACATGTGACACAAAGTTCTTCGGTGCGGCCGCTTCGCTCACCGCTGCGGCCATATGGCTGAACCAGATTGGCCGAGCGGCGGCATGGGGTGGAGCTCGCGGGTCGCAGTGTTTCACAGAGCACGCGAGGAAAAGAGCGAATTTCGCCACTCGGGAGCTGGCCTCATGCCGACTAGTTGGCACCTATCCAGGGACCCTTCTGTGAAGGTGTTTGCTCCAAGCCCTGGCGGAGTTGTCTCCGACGGGCGCGATTCCCAAATTACATGCCAGATTCGTTGGGCCCTCACACTAAATCACTCATTACAACTTATGACACCAGGTGCACAGATCACGTGTCATCACCGTCGTTCAACTGCTCCTCCACATCCCCATCATCCTCAGCACCTTCCAGTCTTGGCCCAGGGCTTCAGAATGTCATGCAAAAATGGCTTCCTGCCAAGTGCGAAAGCGCACATTGCCAGATCGCCTGAAGAGTTTTGTACTTCCAATCCAGAGGCAATGAACTTCTTTTTATCGCCTGAGTGTCGTGCAGGGACAAGGGAGGGTCATAACCGCGACAAAGAACACGTTACCACGACAAAGTGCATCGTTACACCGACAAATCTCAGTGAAGACTATCCCGAGAAGGCTTATGGAAGAAGTAAGAAGGCTTATGGAGGAATGAGAAGGCTTATGGAAGGAATAAGAGGGCTCAAAGGCATAGAAGTAATAAACAGGCTTATAGAAAGGAATAAGAAGGCTCAACGCCTTATAGAAAGGAACAAGAAGGATCCTCGGAAGGGACAGTGACATAGTCGTAGTGTTCTCAAGACATCCTAGTCTAACTGAGATCAGAGAGACCGGCATGTCGCAATAGCAAATCAATTCCGTTCCAGTCCAAGCTCAGAGCAACCCATTCGATCATCAGACACTTCCGGCGCTCCCGTGCCCCTTGCGCTCCCCGAAGGCTGTGCCTGATCACGGAACATGGAACATGACAGATGCAGACGACCGCTAGGCTCAGTTCCGATATGCAGAAACACATGCGCCACTTGCAGTTCATGTGTGTGCTTTTGCCTCTGGTACTGCAACATGGGCCCCTTTGTGTTCACGCATGTAGCTGACTACTACTCAGCACAAACACGAGCTTGCAAGGCTCGGCATGCGCATGCCGAGCAGTGCGTCAAGTGAGTGCGATCCAGACAGTTCGCGCGGTGCATGAAGCGCATGCAGTCAGTAAAATCACCCAGTGCATGCAACTCGCATGTGGTGCAAGCAGTGAGCACAAGGGCCACGGAGAAGGGCCACGTTTTCGTCCGTTGTTCATGCAGGGCTTGAAGTCCACGTCACGATCTTCTGAGCCTGCTGGGTTGCTTGGACTTCTCATCGGGTTGAGCTTGCTGTCTCGCCTTGGCCCTGAGTTTCCAAGCAGATGGACTACAGTCTCAGCCAGCTTTCAATCATAGCGACTGCGTGTTGCACTGCAAAACAACTTGACTTCCAGCCAATGTCCCGTGACAGCACACTCAGAGGTTTCCTAAAAAATGCAGCCTCTTCTGGGAGAGAAGAAGCCACGAGCTCAGGAAGCTGAAGCGCCATGCGTCTTACTGACTGAATCAGATCCTCTCTTCTTTTTTCTTGTCTTGAATTTCCTTTCCTTCTTCTCTTTTCTTTTTCTTGCATCCGTTCTTTTTTTTTATATCGTCTTTGCTCCCTTGCCGTCCAGCTCTTCTTGTTGTCTTCTTCGTCTTCGAGTTCCGCCTTCTTCTTTCTCTCTTCGAGTTCTTCTCTCCCGCTTCTCCCAGGAAGCTCCGCGGCGTCTTCGGCTGGTGGCCGCTGTGGCAGGAGGCGCGAAGCCGAGCCGGAGTTCGAGAGAAGGCGACACGAGACGAAGAAAGGAGACGAAAAGGAGACGAAAAGGAGACGAAAGAGAAGAGAGGAGTTAGAAAGACGTTTTAGAAAGGAGAGACAAAAGAGACGAAGGAGTTTGAAACGTTTGAAAGGAGAAGAGTTTGAGACGTTAGCTTTTCGGTTTACGAAGTTAGCTGAAGTTTAGCGCTACGCTCGTTGTTCAAGGCCTCGAGTTAAAAGACGTTTACGTCAAGAAGGTCAAAACCGAGAAGGATGGAAAGAGAATAAGAGAATGGGAGAAAGGGGTAGATGAAAGAAAACCGATCTCTGTGCAAGACTCTTAGTTGCTGTCTTGCTGTCTTGCTGTCTTGCTGTCTTGCTGACTGAGATGCTTTGCATTCGCTTTGATGGTTTTATTTGATCTTTGCTGGCTTTGAATTGCTTGCTTGAATTGCTTAATTGGGCAAGCCCTGCAAACAGCCCAGTGTTGCTGCAAACGATTCGGTGTTGCACCCTTGCCCTCAAAGAAGCATTCCAACTTCAGAGCACTGTTGCAGTGTAAACAAGGCACAGCTGCGCATTTTGCCGCGTTCTCGCACTGCGTTGCGTGTCGCTGCAAGCACTTGAGCAGCGAGTACTCCAGAATGTCCTGTTTCATCTCAAACAAAAATGCGGCAAGTTTCCTTACAGAGCACTTTGTGTCAGTCAAGCTCGGGACACACTGGGCAAGATATGCAACTAGGCTCCTTTATTCCCTCTTCAAATAGCACAGTGTTGCTACCCTGCCGTGAACAAGCAACGTTCGGCAGGTGCTAGGCAGAATGCGCATTAATAAGGATAATTTTACAGAGTTTTCCGGGCTTGAACTAGTGAACTTGAGCCAAAGCGCAGACACACTGTACCCAGGTCATACCATTGGAGGCAAGGCTGCCTCCCGAATCTTGCCGTGTTGCTTTGGCGTAAGGACTTGTTGAGTCACCGATTGACTAGGAGGATGGCCGTCCAGATCGTGCCCTGATCGTTGCAAACTTGGGTGCTGGTGTCATGAGCTTTGGCACTGGACCAATTTGGATTATTGTTTGCATGCTTTCATCCAAATGCATTTGACTGATGCCCAACTTTCCCGGGCAAGAGACGGCTTGTGGCGCGGGCAAGGATTGGTATCCGGCAAGGCCTGAGTGCAATTATGACGGCGAGTCTGATATTTACCGCGGCTGGCGTGCCAGAGCTCAGTGATAAGAATCTTGTCTGAATGCTTATCGGCTTGTCCCTTGCCTGCCAGTACCTGTCTGCAGGTTTGCATTCGGCATCACTATGATGTGGCCAGTGCCCCGGGCAACAGCTTGGCTCGCAACCGGCCCCCGAATACCAGTTGAGGTTTTCATCTGCAGTTTCAGCACTGTGGTACGGCCTGTTTGGACGTATGCAGAGCGGCCTCATTGGCATCAACGATGTGATTGGCGGCTTGACTTTCAAAGTGTTTGGGTCAAACATCCGCAGTATCGATGGCTGATTGCTGGCATCGGTGTTTCCGCGTACTGTAGACCAAGGCGATATTTGTTTGTGTGACGATCTGAGCATTCAGGTATCCTATGGGGAACGATTGGCGGGCAGATTTCGCAGCAGGTAGACTCAGCCCAAATCTTTCCCACGCAGCTGGCAATTATTGCCGTCAGCACCGCTCCTCGACAAAGTTTGGCCTGGCTCCACTGCTCCCAGGTTGCCAAAGGTGAAAGTGAGCATGGGCTGCTCGAAGCACCATAGATGCCAAAAACTCCTTCCTTGCACACGGATTGTTTTCAATGCCGCATGGATGTCTAGCAAAATGCCCGTGGCCGAAACTTGAAGCTGTGGAAACCAATGGCTTGGACAAAGATTCGGAAAGGCCCTTTGTTCTTATTGCCGAAACTGTCGAGCTGATCGGAGCAAAGCTGTACAGCTTGAAGCGAGCGTAGTGCGCAATGGCTGCCGACCCGAAGCCAACCTTCAATACCACTCCTGCTCCAGAGTTCGCTCTAATGGCAGATTCCCAGAGCATGACTCGTGCCCACATCTTGTACATGGACGTGCTGAGCGCTTGCGTTCTACAGCCACAAAATTGACCAGCATGGCACCTTATCAACCTTCAAGTTTGATACGTTCGTTGTCTCTTGTTTTTGCTATCATTTTGCATGTTTTCCGCAGAGTGGCCCTGGCCTACACACCCTTGCGATATGGGAAACGCCCTAAGGGCCTAAGTTTACTAAGTCCACTGTCAGTGAGCTCCGAGGTGCTCACGGGCATGGCATCGATTATATTTGGACAACTCGGTTTGGGGAAGCTGATGCTTCTGTTTCCCGCGCCGGTCACCAGCGGCCGCTTGCCTCTCTCCGTGCTTTTTGGGATGGGGGAATGCCGGCACTCGTGTTGCGCCGAGGATTCCTGGGTTCGATCGGTTTCTTTATTTTCAAGAGCTCCCTCCAGATTTCTTCTGGTGTAAAGTTCCACTACCTCTGGCCAATCAGCTTCGAGGCTGGCTTGGCTTGATGGCGCACTGTCAGCCCTTGAGAACTGGGTCTCAGGATTTCCTTCAGCCTCAGCCACTAGCTCGTGTTGGCTGCATGTTTGCTGCGCTGGCATTCATGTGTCTCCATTGCACTTAGACTTAGCTGGCGCTCGTTTTGTTTTCCGCGCCCCTGTTCATGCCCGTTCGAACGTTGCTAGGCGCAAGGTGCCTCCCCTTTTGGTGTCGCTTGGCAGCAATCAGCCACTCACTTGGCATTGCCGAACGGTGTGTTGCTGAGCTGTGCTGAGGAAGGCATTCCCGTATCCTTCAGTGAAGAAGCTGGGTGGATTGGTGTGTCAGCTGATCCCACTCTTCGCTTTTTACCTGGTCACCAGCCTTGCTGGGATTGTCCCAGCCTTAGGCAAGTCGAGGCTTGGTTTGCGCTTCGCCCCGTGTGGGTCACTCAGGACATGGAAGAATTGACGGATCAGGGGTGGACCTACCCAAAGCAAGGCAGCAGCAGTCCTTCTGTTCTGTGGACCTCTAGAAGCCTGTCAGACGCAGATTGGACGCCTGGAAGAGAAGGGAGAGATGAAGAGTTTACTCAGTGGCCGAATGAACGGGGGGCCCTTTTTGTTTGGGGGAGGAGTGCATGGACTCGATGACTGATTGATTACCTCCAACTTAGTAGGGCAGGCGTCACGCATTTTCTTTTGCGTTTTGGGGATGGACAATGTGAAATGCGTTTTTTCACCGTGCGGTGCTCTGAGGAACTTTGTTCGGACAACCCTCCCGCCGCATGGCTGGTTGCCGGTGCCGACGGTGCGGAGGGGTTGATTTCTTGCCAAGGTCTCAGGGCCTCATTGTGATGATGTCCGTGCTATGCACGATGACCGGCGTGCTCGGCATATCTGGCAAATTCCCCAGAGGACCACTAGGCTGCACCAAAGCACGACATGACTTTTCATGAGCACTGGCATGGAAATGGAAGGCGATCCTTCTCCAGACGAGACCATTGACTATGACCGCGAACTGCTCACGGTCGGTTGGGTGGACTTGATCTTGGGCCTTGCAGGCCTTGGTCTCAGCCTGCGAGTCGTTGCAATTTCACCCTTTCGGCAGGCGGCATTATCACCTTCCACCGGCTGGGAAGCACCGTCCAGCTCCGAATGGATGGCGGCTCCGGCGAGTTTGCGAGATCCAAGGTGTGGCTTCTTTGATTAGGAAGAGCTGCTTAGGTGGAACACATCGTATTGCCGCCGGCTCAATGACAAGATCATTGGCAGTTCATTGGCTCCTTCGCACTCATGTCTGAGGCTGTGTTCACATGTTCCATCTTTTGCGCCGGTCTCTTCCTTTCCGGCATACCGATCGGACACCTGATTCCCACATGGTTCTTGGGCGGTCTCTTCATGAACAGTGCCACAGCTGCAGCTCCCCGTTGCTTCGTCGCTTCGTCGCTTTGTTTGCCCTTGACCCCTTTCTTTGGGGTTCAGGCTCGGTGAGCCTCGTGACTGACGCGCTATTCTCCTTCCGGCAGTTGCCAAAGTCCAAGTGGAGTTTCTTGGGGTGGAAGCTTCCATCCATGGAGTATGGCATCACCATCGCCTGCATCGTGGTGGCTATTGCATGGTCGCCCTTCGCCGGAATCTTCACAGGCCGAAAACGACTGGAACTTGAAAGCTTCAAGTCTCCTTGGGGGCACTTTCGTATTGTTCTCTCTTTGTCTCTGAACCTCTGCTTTTCTTTTTGCGTTCTCTTCCTTTCTTTTTCTACCTCTTCCTTTCTGCCTTCTTTCTTTGTTTCTTCCTTTCTCTTGTTCCGCATTCAAGCCCTAGCACCCAGTCTTGACTGGCCCAAACCTATTCACATCTCCGTAGTTGTCTGCGATTGGACGGGTACCTTAGACTTGTAACAAAAGCTATGACTGGTTGAGTTTCTGTGCATGGCCAGGTTTGGCACTGTCAGTCTTTGAGTTCCTGTGGCACAGCTCACAGAGCCACCCCGTCGGGGCCCATGAGTGTCACAATACTTGTAATGCAAAGTGCAAGGCAATAGAAGGCAATTGGGCAACTGCAATGCGGAATTTCTGAGGTGAGCGGAATCAGCGCGGGGCACCTCTCAGTGGGCCGCACCAAGCGCCCCGTGTGGGAGCTCCGCGTGTTGCGACGGGAAGGCGATCGCATCGTGCTGCTGTTCCTTCAGGCGCCACTCGCCGCCGTGCGGTTGGCCGTATGTCGCCGTGCGTCGCCGTGCGTCGCCGTGCGTCGCCGTGCGCCATCCGGGGGCGGTCAGCCATCAACTTGCCAAGGGCCAGCTCTTCTTTGGATCTGCGGATCATCTATCTCATACTCTTGCAACGGCAACGGACGAGGACCTGCCATTTTATCCATTTTATCCATTTTCAGAATGCCGAATCTTGTGGCCGAATCTTGTCAGGCTCGCCTGAAGTACTGCATCCTCAGCTTTGCACGGGTCATTGACATAGACGCCTCTGCTGCAAGACAAGTCAAGACATCTGTAGAGAAGGCTGCAAGGCCGGGCTCTCAGCCTCTCGGCGGCACTCGGGATTTCGTTGCAGGAGTGGAGTGCACGTGTACTTCTGCCGAATGACCCCGGATGTCTTCCAGGAGCTGAAGACAGGCACTGAATCACTCGAAGTCAGACTCAGATCGCAGAATCGCATCGCAGGAGCTGTCCGTGGCGGGCGCCATCAAGTCTCCTGACCCAGCGCTTCGTAAGGCTCCGGAGAATCGAGCGGGAGGCTTGGCCGTGTCTCGCGTTCGACGCGTGGGACGCAGGTGCTCTCGGACCGTGGCATCAACTTCGAAAGTTGGCAGAAGGCCGAGGACTTCTCAACTCGTTGCGGCAAACCTGAAAAGTAATATGTGAACCACGTCCAAATCTGTCACATGCTTGTACGCATTTTTTTGCTTTGGGATTACGCTACCTTGCAACTTACAGCTACCTGCGTCTAACAAATTGCTGTGGAGGTTTACACTTCTAGCTTCAGAATTGAGCATCCAGCAGAGTGCCTGTGCAGTGCTGGTGCAGATTGAACATTTGGTGGGTGATGCCGGGGTGTAGGGAGTGTACTGAGTCCGCCGTTGCCGCGTACACTGTTCTAGCCCGAAGCTGGGTTGTGCCCGCTCAGTGAGTCAAGAGTCAGCGCTCCATCGAGCTGAAAGGGCCTGCTGCTAGCACTAAGTTGGCCCCAAGTTGGCGTGCGAGAAATTTCACCTGAGATGGCGCCCTTCATATCAAGGAACATAGACAAACACCTGGCCTGTTGTTTCTAGTAACTCGCACAACTTATGCGGTTTGCCATGCCAGGACACTCCCGCCACTTTCTTCGAGGCAAGTCAGGCAGAAAGCTCCAGTGGCATTGCCACGCGAGGGACCGAGCGGTGCTCGCTCCGGTCGCTCCGGTCCGCTTCCGTCGGATGCGCGTGACCGAGGTTTCCCAGTCGCAGGCGGATGACTTGCGAGTTCCTGCCCCTGGGAACAGGGAAATTTGCTTTGGCCCCGGAGCCAAGTTGACAGCCGGGATAGCAATACGTCGGTCAAATAGGATGCCTTCGACACGGAGTCCGACGCCTTGGACTATTGCAACGACCTCTTGTTGGAGGAGTGGCTCAGTGCGCCGGTCGAGTGTCAGCCTTGAATCCTCTCTGTTCGCCGCAAGGAGTACTGCTACAAGGACGTGGAGAGCTACAAAAAGGCCCCAGCGACAAGTTCGACGAGCTCGAGCGTGCGACCGCTTCGTCCCCTCGCGCTGTGAGGCTTATCGTTTGGCCTGCAAGGCAGGTGATCGCTTGGCGGAGGCGGGCGCAGCGATATCACGAATGGCTCCCCCTCAGAGGTCTACCTTCAGATTGTAGTATTTGTCGAAATCTTCTGTCTGCACGACTTCGGAAGGTCTTGAATGTATCAATACATCCTAGGATTGAAGAAAGCCTGATGTGTGCTACATCAACTGTTTATGCATGTAATGCTTTCCCCTGGCAAGGCTCGAGTGTTGATGAGAAAATTCAAAATCGAAACAACCAGTCATTTGTACCTATTCCAAGGGGATTCCTTGCATTGTGCAAGCATTTCCCCAAATTGATCATTTGTGCGCAGTTGGCCTTATTGCAGATCCTAGCCAGGGGAGTATCAAACTTGTTTAGGATTGAGGTTTCCAGAGAGACGTTTGCCAGGAATGTTCGATTTCACTACTTCAATCCTGAAATGTATTGATACATTTAGCACCGCCCTTCGTGCAGACGCGGATTGCAGCACTTCACTTCACACATAGGTTAATCACGTCAGGTAAACAGGTGTACAGTCGCTCCTGCTGTAACATGGCGGAGCAGTAAGTAGGTAAGTAGTACACCTGGGAAAGATCCTTGGCCTTCCATGCGGAACACAAGGAATGGCGGCCCAACAGCAAGAGCAACAGAAACGTACAACAAAGGCAAATGCAATAGCCACAAATGAGGAAAAGGCAAGCAGCACACCCAACAACCGGTTGGACAAGGAACTCCTTTCAATAGACGACAAGGATTCGGTAAAGGAAAAGGATACAGCTACAAAGGAAAAGGCAAAGGATACTACAACAACCAACAAGGAGGAAAAGGAGCAAAAGGAAAACACGCAACACATGTTTGCTGCAGATGTGGGCAGCCAGGACACATGGCCAAAAGCACAATCAGGCACACTATGACAGCAATTGGTACTACCAGGATCAATCACAGGTGCAACAACTAGCACTACCACAACCAGCAGATTCATCCGCAGTACCCAGACCAGGATTACACTTGCTATGATTGGGAAGCGCACACAACTCAACGGCGACAAATGGGCCAGTCTCATGATTGACAGCGACCACCATGGTTTGCGCCGCAATTCCCACCGACCACTGCCTAGAACAGTGACCAATCAACAGACGGGTTTGCGTGACAAACCACAGCGGACAACAGATTGTCATACCTTTCTGTACGTGTGTGATTTCAGTCACAAGGCTGGTAGAACAAGATCCAAGACTACAAAGCAGAAAAAGGGTTCAACAGCGCACTGGAGAACAGAGACGGCCTGTTCTTGCTAACAGCGTTACCAAAAGAAACAAAGCTACAGACACACCGCATCGCAAGGATAGATTGGCATGATAGCACCAGCGCAAGGCGCAGCAGACGCAGGATACGCAGGACACTACTGGCAGTTCAACACAAAAGGTGAACGTGAACTTGACAGAGTACACAGGCAGCGCAGGAACACACTCTTCACACCAGCAATAAACACAGTGTCCAGTCCCAACAGAACAAATTCAGGACTACAGACGAACAACCGTCAGATGTAAGGATGGTACAACGAACACTTTTGCGGACAAGTGTAAAAGAATGGATGTACCAAACAGGGCGCAGCAACAGATGTGGAAAGGAGAAACAGCTTTCAGGATCAAGAAAGGCACAAACTGCCAGAGACACACAGCAGCAGCTTACGGCAAAGACACAGCCAAAGAGCGCGCCGCATAAGGTCGCACCACGAGTGATTCGGTGCGACCCGCGCGCACGATTGAGAGAGAAGACAGCACCAACAACAACCCATGAGTCAGCAGCGCCACGCGCCATGAAAGGTGCAGCTGGACAAGGACTTTCACTTCCTTCAGAAGTACATCATCTGGTACAGAGAAGGCCCACACTGGAAGAGAGAACGCATCGAGCCACGCAGCATTGAGGAAAGGTAGTACCACCGCAAGAAATACTGAATCACAACGTGACACACCTTCCCTACAGGAATTGGTGTCCAATCTCTGGAGACAACATCACCTTGAAACAGCAGCGCTTCTACACTGGCTCTTGACACCACGACCTACAAAGAAGCTGCGCAGTCAGAACGCACCTTTTGCATAGTGGCTACATCCTTTTGGACATCTCAGGAGAATGTTTACAACATTATCCTGAGCAGGCGTGTTAAGACATGCGTCCCAATACGTTACACCGTGAATGCTGCCATACAAAACCAAGGCCTTGTTCCCGTAGCTGCCATAGCCCTTGCCTTTGTTGTGCTTTCCTTTGCCCTTGTGCTTCCTTTGCCTTTGTTGTACCATGTTGCTCCTACGTGCATTGGTGCTGGTGCTTGGTTGTTGTTGCTGTTGCTGCTGCTGCTGCTTGCTGTGATTGCCTGTAGCCTGTTGGATGATGCTGCTGTTCATTAGTACTCTACCAGTAGAGAATTGATCTGTGCATATGTTGTGATATTTCCTGCTTGCTGCAAGTGTAGGTGTAGTGGTCCTTTTGTCTCATTGAGCATTGTTGTGATGTAGAGTGCGTCTTGTAGTAGTGTGTTGTTGTCTTGTTCGTACTTGGCGAGTTGAAACTCCTGTGTTGTAAAGCTCTTTTCGAGCTTCTGTTCATCGAGCTGTGGCTTGTTTGAGTAACCTTGTAAGGTGCCCAACGCTTCGTGTACCAAGTGGTATGGAGTATCTCAGGTGTAGTAGCCGCCATGTCTCGAAGCCGTTGCCTTGCATGTGTTGTCTGCAGACTGTAAATGCTGGTCCAGCGCATGTGCTCACCAAGATGTAGTGTAAGTTGTCGCCCAGTTTTGCTCTGCTACTGCTTGTGAAGGTGCTGCTGTCTCAAGTTGACGTTTGTAACTGCCAGTTGTGATTGCTCTGCTTCTTTCAGTAGTCTGTTGTATGAAGGGTCTTGTAGCCCAAGGTACATTCTTCCAATGTGTTGTACTCTCATGTGAATCGTGGTGGTGCTATCTTGTACTTGTGTATTCCTTCCAGCTGATGCTGTTGCTTTTGTCGTTGTCGTTGTCGTCGTTGTTGTCGTTGTTGTGGTTGTCGTTGTGGTTGTCGTTGTCGTTGTCGTCGTTGTTGTTGTTGTGTGTCGTCGTCGTCGTCGTCGTTGTTGTTGTCGTTGTCGTCGTCGTTGTCGTTGTGCGTTGTCGTTGTCGTTGTTCGTTGTCGTTGTCGTTGTCGTTGTCGTTGTCGTTGTTGTTGTCGTTGTTGTTGTTGCTGTTGTTGTTGTTGTTGTTGTTGTTGTTGTTGTTGTTGTTGTTGTTGTTGTTGTTGTTGTTGTTGTTGTTGTTGTTGTTGTTGTTGTTGTTGTTGTTGTTGTTGTTGTTGTTGTTGTTGTTGTTGTTGTTGTTGTTGTTGTTGTTGTTGTTGTTGTTGTTTGTTGTTGTTGTTGTTGTTGTTGTTGTTGTTGTTGTTGTTGTTGTTGTTGTTGTTGTTGTTGTTGTTGTTGTTGTTGTTGTTGTTGTTGTTGTTGTTGTTGTTGTTGTTGTTGTTGTTGTTGTTTGTTGTGTTGTTGTTGTTGTTGTTGTTGTTGTTGTTGTTGTTGTTGTTGTTGTTGTTGTTGTTGTTGTTGTTGTTGTTGTTGTTGTTGTTGTTGTTGTTGTTGTTGTTGTTGTTGTTGTTGTTGTGGTGTTGGTGTTGGTGTTGGTGTTGGTGTTGGTGTTGGTGTTGGTGTTGGTGTTGGTGTTGGTGTTGTCGTTGTCGTTGTCGTTGTCGTCGTCGTTGTTGTGGTTGTCGTTGTCGTTGTTGTTGTGGTTGTCGTTGTCGTTGTCGTTGTTGTTGTGGTTAGGCGCCATTCCTTGTGTGTTGTATGGAAAGGCCGCCAGATCTTTCCCAGCTGGGTTACTGTCTTCACTGCTCCGCTACCATGTTAAACTTGGAGCACTGTATACTTGTTTACCTGACGTGAAGCGCTGTTGTTTTTCCTCAGGGCAAAGACGTACTCTCTACTGTAGCTGTACTAAGACTTGTACATCGCAGTATCCAGGATGTATTGGGATGCATGCATCTTAGCAGATACGCATGGGTGGCTTGTTACGGGGGTTGAGGGCGACTTCGAAGACATGCACTTCCTGCCGCGGGGAACCTTGGATCGCTTGAAGCCTCACTGCGAGGCGACGGCATCTGCGCACTAGCCAGGGGTGAGCTTCCCTTTTTGGCAGGTGATGAACCACTTGCCTCATTATCAGAAGCTTTGCCGCAGACCTTTGCCGGGAGAGCCTGCTCTGGGGCTCGTGTTTCAGTCTTTCTGACTTGCCCAGTTTCTTTGGGCTGTCAGTCTGATGTGCGACACAGCAACGGTCAATATTCACCGTCGTTGACTGTAGTTTTTAAGGATGTTGATTATGTGCACTCGCAGCTTTCAGCGCTTTCCTGCCCCAGGAATCTGCCGCATGATTGCGAGCCAACGCTATACTTCATCATGCGAGGTGCCTTCACACTCCCCGCAATTCCTGTGGCATTTGCGATGCGCAGCAGTCTTCTCGCAGCTGGCTTGAGGTGCCATATCCCAATTTGAAGAGACACAGAACGAGGATGTGATAGTTGCCCGCAGTGGCAAACTTCAAACAGAGGCCCGATAATTGGGAGTTTGAGTCCGGCCTTCACATCCTGAAGCATGTTGCAGTTCGAGCTCTGTTTAAGTACACGAGTTTGCATCGAAAGTTAGATCTCAGGTGAAAGGCTTCACTGGCCGTGGAAGGAAGCGACTTCGAGCGCGTTTCCCACCTGGTCATGCAGGGAGCCTCAGCTTCAGAAGCGCACCGAGCTTTGGGTTTGCGTTGCAGGTGGTGGGGAAGACTTCTTTCTTCCTCACCAACGATGGCGTGGTGGATCGCAAGGTGCTGCCTATGCTGCAGGCGCGTTTGCTGGCTTCCGGAGCTTCCGGAGCTTCTGGAGCCGTGCAGGTCTCCTCGCGAGTGTCCGGCTATGCAGAGGCAAAGAGTTCGCTTCCGATCGAAGGATAGGATGGCAATGGCAGTGGCAAGAGCGAGCTTCAGGTCTGGGGGCTGAAGCGGAGCGCCTGGGACCAGCTCCCTGCGGACCTGCGCGGTCTGTTGCAGGAGATGGGACTCACGAATGCCGGGAGAGTCTCGGAGTCTCGGAGAGAGTCAGGATTTTATGCTATTCCAGCTGGCAGACGACAGGCTTGCGGCTCAGCTAGCGGCATTTTTTTGTCGCTCTTACTTTCGGGTGCCGCTTGAGCACTGCGAGGCAGCATGCGCTTCTCATCGAATGAGGGAGCCTGCAGTTATGGAGAGCCGCAACAAGGCTGCCTGCTTGCCATGCGTACGATGCGTGCCCTGCGTGCCATGCGTGCCAGTGCGGTGCTTTCTCTGGCCACTCGTATTTTGGCATTGGCGTGTAGCATTTGGGCTTGAGCTGTCGCGCGGCCCCTTTGAGCCACGAGTGCAGCATGGCGCAGCTTGGCAGAGTTTGGGGCGCCTTGCGCCTGGCAAGAAGCTGCGCTGAGGCAGCCGACACGAGGCCGGAGGAGTCTCCGAAAGGGCTGCGGCCTCAGCTTGCGCTTTCAAGTTTGGGACTCGGGGACTTGTTTAGAGCTGAGGCGGAGCAGAGCTAGAGGCAAGTTGCACGCTTTTGTTGTCGTCTGAACGCCAAGCTGTGGATTGCGTCAGGGCGTGAACTTCATGAGCCATATGCTCAACTCTGCCCATGCCAACATGACCAAGGCGCGGTTTCCACGGCTCTCGCGGGCAATATCATCTACGGTGCGCTGTATACAATCTATGTTCCAGGCCGTGGAGGAGTTTATGGCCCAAGAGGTCGAAAAGTACGAGCTGTCCTTGAACCCGGAAACGCGTTTCGTTCCTTGACAGTCGTCGCACTAAGGACTTGGTGTTCGCTATCTTACGGGACCTTCAGAAGAAACAGAACCAACTGGAGACGGTGGTTGCATCTTTACAGGCGACACACAGTCAGTATGAGTTGTGGGCGTTTTTGACCTCAGTGCTTGCAGGCGCAGTGGCAGCAGCAAATGTGTGCCGGCCTCGTGCCAAGAGCCATCAAGAGCAAGCGATCTGCGGCCAAGGGGCATTGCAGCAAGCCAACTCGAGCGAGCAAATTGAGCAAGACGCTGAGCAGGCGAGCGGCATGTGGTCCCGCAAGAGTTGTCCGTCCCAGGGCAGTCCCAGTTTACATGGTGGATGCAGATGGTAAATTGGTGGCGACTGCAGGAGCCTTACACGTTGCAACGCAAGCTATGAGCTGAGAGTCTGAGGGCATGAGCGTTCCAAAGAGCCAGTGTGGCATGCAGTGCGTTCCGTCGCCTGCGGCTGAGACTCGCCTTGTTCAGACCGGCATGGCCAAAATGGCCTGTTCAGGCCAAGATACTTGCATGTCGCGGCCATTTTCAGCCGGTAGCGAACCGAACCGAAGTGCCAAGAAGCCCTATGGCGCTCGAGCTCATGGCGCTCATTGCTCGCATTGTGGCGATGGCCGGGACTGCAGCGGCGCTGCAGCACAGATCGCCATGCGCCTCAGCCGATGGCTGGAGACGATTTGCGTTCAAAACGACTCGAGACTTAGGCCTCCGATATCCTCCCGGTGTCCATGTAGCTTCTCGCCCAAGATCGAGGCTGTTGAGGGCTCTTGCCAAAACTGGCCGAGGTCCCATTGCCAGAGATTCAGCGGCAGTTTCTGCTATCAGTTCCTGTGGAGTTTGCACGTGAAGTGCCTTTGGTTCTGGGCTTCCATGGGTTCAGCGATTCCCCTTGGCAGCTTGGCACTGGGATGCGTTGCATGCACAAGCATGCACAACGCAAGCACGCTTGCAGAACTTTTCAGGTATTTCAACGCATTTTCAGACTTCAGCAAGCACATCAATCGATATGGCTGGTTGGGCATCCTGCCTTTTGGCCTGGATGAGCATGGAACAAATGGTCTAGGCCTGCTCATGAAAGCTGACGTGCGCAGCGTCTCGGCGTGCACTCCCTGCGAGGTGGAGTGAATGCCTGCTGTCCTGATGATTGTCTAGATGATTGCTGCACGAAAGGCGGTGTGCTGTGCTTGTCTATCTTTCTTTCAAGCTCTGCGGACCGCCATGTGCTTGCGAGACTTGAACTTTTCCACTCTTTCTTGATTGACCTTGGCTGGCATGTGGCTCGCGCTTTTCAGGACTCCACCTGCGGCAGAAGAATGAAACCGCCTGTCGATGGAGTAATGCCAAGGACATGTCGCTTCCTGGCAGATTCAGTGCCTTTGCTTCCGAAGCGGCTAGTGCCCTAGTGCTGATAGTGCCTCGGGCTTCCCGAGGTTTATCGAGGAAATAGTCAAGTGGGCAGGCGAGAATACCTGCATTGATCAAAGCAAGGCGCTTTGGAACTGACATGTGGCATGTGGCCAAGCTCGGCCGGTTTGCCGTTCAGTCGGGGAAGAGGTGGCTGAACAGCCCAGCTGTCTTTAGATTCTATTGAGGGCGGGTTGAGCAGAAAGTGGCATGTGAGCCCTTGCGCAACTAAAGCTTCAAAAGAGCTGGGTCAGGCAAGCTGCTGGTATCTGAATAACATACCTGACCAGCTGACAATTGGGAGATTGAAGCGTTGAATGCCGGGTGAGGGACAACAGGACGCCCAAATTTCCTGCAGACCTGACACTTTCGGGCCCGAACCAGGTCTTTGCCACGGGCTTTAGCAATGGAGGAGTGCCTCTGGGCCGAATGGCACTGAATGGCACTGAATGGCACTGAATGGCACTGAATGACACTGAATGGCTCACTTTGAAATGGCACTGGCAATGGCATCTTTCGAGGTTCACCAACTACTTGGCATGCCATGCAGGGCATTTGATCCGGGCCTTCGCCCCCATATCTGGGGACAATCCCGCATCTTTGCTGGCATGGATCCGCGACCGAATGTGATCCAAGAGCCTCAAGTTGCAAGGCTCTGGACTGCGATGTGAGTCATCCAATTTCCTATGTCAGCATATGCGGCAGCTGGGCTGTCTGTGACACCTGCTTTGGTTCTAAAGGATGACAGTGTTCCTAGTCCGGATCCAAGGCACTGCTGACGACGAAGCGATGTGCCAATATAGCTTTGAGGCCCATGAAACGAGAAACGAGTTCACTTCTGTCCCGTCGCCGCAGGACACAGCAGAGTCTCTCGGATGAAGCTGCGAGTGGCGCGGCACGCGGCATCCGCTCCGACTGAGGTCCTTGAGCAAGCTGCACAACTGTGCCGGAGCAGGCGGGACTCGGGGCAGGGGAGACACCCGAGTCGATTGAGCCAGGCCCAGCAGGTGCTCCTGTCACATTCCAGAGATCTGCCACGACCTCCTGCAAAGCGCCAGAGCTGAGCACGGCCTCGAAGCTTCGAAGCTTCGAAGCTTCGGGGCTTCGGGGCTTCGGGGCTTCGAGAATCGACCGGAAAGTGCGCACGTGAGGTGTGGGATGCCTGCCCTCAGCAGAACTTTGTGGAAGTTTGCCGGACAGAGGCGCGGTGAAAGCCTCGAATCGGTTTGCAGATTGAGCGGCTTCGGTGTGCAGGGCCTTTCTCACGACATCAGCGGCCACCTGCGTCCAGACAGCACCAGCTCCTTGGCAAGGTGCCTCACCTGCACCTGCCAAATGCATGCAGCCTGAGGCTACCTTCGGCCAGGGAGCGATCTGGATTTTGCGGAGTACGTGTTTCGGCACAAGTGCGCTGTTTTGAGACAGCATTCCGACGATACTCCCAATCACAAGCCCCGCTGAGGCATTCCAGAAGTTCTCTCTGCTGGCTTGGGTCTTGGGTGTGGCAGACTTGCAGAGTGCGTCTCATTGCCAGGCAACAAGGCTCGAAGTAATCGGCTGTGGCACTGAAATCGCGTGCAGCTGGAAGCCGGAGGCGAATGGCAGCATGCTCTTTTGGGGCGAGCCGACTGATGAGCAGCTGCGGTACAAGGTGTGTTGCTGCTTGGGACCGGTGCTGCTGGGTTGCGTATTGTGCTCGTTTGCGTCCCCAAGTTTGGCCAGGAGTCGCAGTGGCCGCCGCCCCCTCATCAGGATCACATCTACCTCCGCAACAGCTACCAGGCCTCTATCGCGCATCGCAAAGCACCTGCAAAGCATCGAAGCTCTTGCCAGAAGCATCGAGAGAAATTCGAACAGCACGTGTTTCACGCGGCGCAGCGCACAGGCCCCATCAGCCTCAACTCTCAGCTGAGAGCCTTCCAGAGCGGAGCGGAAAAGACACGTGTTGCAGGGGTGCAGAGGCTGCGAGAGTGCTAGGCTGCGAGAGTGGTAGTGCACAGCTTGAGCCCAACTGAGGCAAGTGCCAAGTTCCGAGTCTGCCGAGTCATGCACAGACTGAGCTTTAATTTAGGCACTGCAGCCAAAGACTCAAAGCTGCTTCTTTCCAGCCAGCCTGACCCGGGGATTCGTATAGACCCTGTGTGGCCAAGGCGGCAAGTAGCCTTGCTTGCGGTAATTTGATTCGCTTCAGCAAGTGATGCTTCCTTGTGCCTTGCACAAAAAGGCGAGGCGCGGAAGCAATGATCAGGAATCTCAAGATTGTGAGACTCACCGCAGCCGAATACCAGGCAGTGTAGATTAGGCCGAACGAAGACACGCAGCATCTCAACGGATTAGCTGACTACAGCTACCATGCTCACAAATATTTGCTGGTTTAGGCTGAACCATCGTTTCTGCTTGGTTAGTTGGCCATGGCTCTTATACCAAGCGTGCCATTCCCTCCCCAGACGAGCGCGCGCCCGTCCTAGCCTTTGCGACTGCGACGCTGCGAGTCCAAAGGTTTCCGAGTGTGCCGAGGCTGGCCATTTTTTCTCCAGCCCCGACTTCGGGCCACGCCTGCCTCGTCAGCCCGAGAGGCTCGTCTCTTCGGTGTCAGATCTTGCGCAGACCTCGCGCCGATCTGGCCATCTTGCCAGGCGCCGCCTGCGCCGCCTGTGCGCTGACGGCCTTCTTTTTGAGGAGGCATGCCGTGGCAGAGAACGTCGTCCCACAAATTGCAGCTGACAGGCCACTGCGTGCGGGCAGACGTGCGGAGAACATGCCAGAGCCGCCAGGTGCAGCTCTTGATCTTGGCTTCACTTTTTGGCTTCTCTTTCTCTCACTCGATTGCGGCGATTTGCAGCTTCGTCAGCAGGCGCGGCCGCAGAAGGCGAGATGGCTGGTGGCTCCTATGCCAAAGCCTTACTGTTGGACGAGGGTCCTGAATAAAGAGCTTCCAGAGAACTTGGCTGACTTGAGTATTGCTTGTATTGCCAATACGCAGTCTAGTATTGCCTTTTGAGCTTGGTTTGATGAACCACGCTTTAAAAGTAAAAGAGTAAGGCTTTAGTTCTGGGAGTTTCAGTAACCCCTCAGCAAAGTTGCAAAAACAGTCACACTAAGCAGAATCAGGGACTCTTGTTGGCAACTGTTTGTCCTTACTTTTTGTTAAAGAAGTTATCTTAGTTGTGCCGGGTGCGCAATTACGGGGCCTTTCCTTCGTGCAAGCGAGCATTTAATTGTCACCTGCCCCAGAACGACGGAATGGAGATATGGGGCTTTCACCGAGGAGATCATGAAAACCAGCGGCGTGGAGTGGACGAAGATGTTCAAGGCACAAGAAGTTGTGACATAAAACCGTCCCATACCGTCCCACTCGTGGTTTTGGCATTTTGGCAGGCGGCCGATGACTTCGCCAAGAAGAACAACCTCCGAAAGCTGGGCGACTCAAAAGATGCAGCCGCCAAATGGGCCCGGCGCTCGATGCTTCCAGATTTGGTAGCATGTTCATCACGCCACCCAATTTCTGGCTTTATTTGTCATGCTCTATCATAGCGTGACATTTTGGAGCGCCACTCTTGGGTTTCGACATGTTAACCATGTTGGGGTTTGCTTCAAACTTGCTCCCGCTAGCACTTTGGTTTTCGGAAGTCCCTCTTCGGATACACCTTGTCGTAGCCGCACGGCATGTGCAAGGCGGCCTTCTACCCAGATGAGTCCGTCCGCGGCTTGCGCGACTGGCTGGACGGCCGCGGCCTGCGCCGGCACTTCGACGCAGCGGCTCGGAGCGCTCTGATCCCTCACCGTCAGAACCTCTCCGTCAGCGCTCTAAATTCGGTATCTCTAGGTCAACGAGTGGTGCAAGACCATGGGAGCTGAAGCTTGTCTGCACCAAGGCAAGATTTATCATTCGACTCATTCAACCCACACTCAGGATGACATCATGGATCTCATCGAAAATACCGAGGACCTAGAGCCAAGCATCTTTACAGGTTGGCAAATTGGCTTGCAGGACATTGTGGAGTATTTGGGTGAAGAGCTATCCCAGACAGAGCGAGAGACTTTGTTGGGGAGGAAGTGGACCGAGACATCAAAAGGCCGCCTTGTTTGTTTCGTTTGCTTTGTTGGGGCTGTGCATCTTTGGCGACATGGCACACCGCAGCAGTTTTGTGGTCATATTCGATGTCTTAGCACAGACATCTAATTTGTCACACTGTGTCAGGCTTCTATCTCAAGCTCTTAGCGAGTGAAGGCAGTGCAGCGTTCAATTCCTGAAGTATTTTGTACTCTCAAGATCTCTCAAGCTGATGGCAAATACTCGGCGCCTGGCAGCTGCTGCTGTGGCAGTCCTTGTGCTGAGGCCTGCGAAGGAGCGTGAACCGTCTTTGATTGAATTGTTTCCTGAGGTCCGGCCTGTCGTTTCTGCTGCCAGAGGTTGGGTCAGAGCCGCTGTGCCGCGGCACTCCTGGTGTGGTGCAGGCCGGAGAGCGGCGCTGTGGTCGACGAGCGGCTCGGAACGGCACCATGCAGTGCAGAACCTCAGCATGCCGTGCCATCGTGCCATAGGAGGCTTTGGCGGCTGGACTGTACGCTGGCTTTCAGGCCAGGACACCTTCACGTGCCAGCGCCTGTGGGCAATTCGCGATTCAGGCCACCAGTGCGCTGGCACTGAATGACGCTGCTTGCTGAGCGCGCACGAGACATTTCTTTCATGCATGATTTCACATGCACCGAGGCGAGGCAAGACTCCATTTGCAGCTACAAGTGCCTGCGCCTTCGCGCTGAGCCAGAAGCGCCCCACTGGAAAGCCCTGAGGTTTGGCCACCTGCAATCAGAAGGCGCCAAACAACGACGAGTATTGCCAGAAGGCATGGAGCGAATCGCGATACACGGCGATCGCTTCGCCAATATGCCAATATGAATGACAAAAAGCAAGAAAGCGAAAACGCCGACTGACTGACCGACTGAGAGGCCTGCAAGCTGTACTGCGAACAATCCAAAGCTGAGAGGGAGCTGCGATTGCAGACTCGGCATAGGATATGATATGATGCATCGGTGTGAGGATTTGAACTCCAATGTGAAGAAAGGGAGCATTGTGGACAAGATCCTTGACAAGTGCATCTCTTAAGTCAATGGAATTGCAGCTCCTGCCCAGGACGACCGACGTTTCATGCTGGCCAGTATTCAGTATTTTCTGGGCCTGCGGCCTCTAGCCGGCTACGCCTCTTTGAAGTTATACCATGTCATGTCATGTTTTTTGTATGAGAAACGTATCCTGTGCTATGATATGGCTGGTTAGGTTATGCATGTTGCCCACCCCAACCCCAGATGATGCCGGGGATGCCAGCTTTCTGGGCCCTAGCCGGGACCCAAACCAGAAGGCTCACATGGGGTCGCGCGCGCGCGCGCCAGAGGCCGCAGAAACAGCAGCCCAAAAAGAACAGCCCGCAAGCCAGCCCGGAAACGCAAAAGCAACAAAACACTGTAAATAGCAGCGTTTTGTGGCCTGGGTCGCGCGCGCGCCAAAAGGCCCGAAAACCAACGCGAAAAAAGCAAGGGCCGCGCAGCACGCGAGCCAGCCAGAGCAAAAGCAAAACGGACAGAACAACAGCCCACCGCTCAGCACAGCAGTTTTTTGACGGTATTTACAGCGTTTTGAAGAGCGAGGGCCCAGCATCGCCGGCATGCCCGGCAGCGCTTGGCGCCAAAATTCGCGAAAATGGGCCTCGCTTATATCCCTCCGATACCTTCTAAAAAACAGTGCTTTTTGGGCTGAGAGGCTTTTTGGAAGGAAGTCTGGATGATGCAGACCAAGCCCCGCTGAAGCATCACCCAGGCCCAACCCCAGACCCTGATGATGTCAGCCACATGGCCTAAACCCTGCATATACGCGATGTTTTGCGAGGGTTTCCCACAGGCAAGCAAAACCGCAAGCCCGAGCTGGTGATGCAGAGGTGCCGGATTTACATCACGACCAAGTGGCGAGGGTCGGCGGCGCCAGGGTGCACCCCCCTATAGCTAAAGCTAGCAGGCTAATTGCCTAGCGGCGACATGCTACCCCAAGGAGGCGTAGCCGGATTTTACCGCGTCCACTGTGTTCACGTGTTCTTTTGCAGCTGAATTGACCCCAACCCCAGGTCTCGGAAGAAGAAATTTGACGCCAACCGCGCGGATAACGAGAGAACGGAGAACCTGGACCTTTTCATCGGTCCCTGCCTCTGCTCCACGCGCTCTTGGGGCCTTCAGTGACCAAGGTGGGCAACTGTCAATGAGCAACGTCACCGCAACTTGCCATAAGCGGGCTTGTCTCAACATGTGAACCCCGCTTTGGGTCGGTTCAAAGGGAAATAGCAAAGGAAACTAAACAGCGGAAGGCTGCCATAGTTTTTGGGAAGCATCCAAATGTGTGTAGTATGATTGCCAGCCGCTTCACGTTTGCATGCCCAGACATCATTGGGTGCAGACTGCTCTCCGCACGCACAATCGTCTGCATCAGATTCCAATTAGTTGAAACCATGATGAGGACTACGCCAACGGCATCAAGGAGACTTCCAAAATCAAGGACATGCTGAAACGGTGACGCGTCATCACCTTCGAAAAAGGAATGTGCAGGGAGCGATCCATCCGTACTCACGTCAGCATATGGAGAAAGCATCTGCATCATTCTCGTTGAGCGGCTGTTAGCCTTGAAGAGGCAAATCATGTCCGTGAACATAGGGCATGTAAATGTTTGATAACACGATGACACAAATGTTTGACACTCCGTTGACACGGACACGACACAAAATGAATGCGCGAAGTGGCATTTCTCCATTCCAAGCACGTCTTTGCAGCTTTCTCGTTGCTTGCGGGCAATGGAAGCGATCTAATCGAGGTGCGAAGGTGCGACCCGTGGGACCCGTGCGACCTGCGCAAGACTTGAACCGCCTCGGCACTCGCCGGGTCGCCGGGCATGTGGCTCTGGAAGTTCTTCAAGTTCTCACGAGGCACGTGGTGTGCGCAATGCTTTGCTTCCCTCAGCTTCGGACCCTTCAGAGGCAAGCCTCTTGACTCAGAGAAGAGCGTAGAGATCGCGAAGGATGCGGAGCCTGTTGAAGAGAACGAAGATGCTGGTGACATCCTCAGCTGCAAGTGTTGGCAGCAAGGCATGAGACATAGATGACATTCTGCTCAGATCTCCCAGATCTCGAGCCTGCAGAGGAGGCATACTTGCTCATTTTGGCCTATTCGCATATTGTGTTGCATATATCTGCATCCATTCACATGTATGTTATTTTCCATATGCGTTTTGCCGAGGAGCTTGCGGTGCACACCCTGGTGAGAGAGTCGTCCCTCAGGGACGATGGGGAGCCGCCGCCGGGGCGGGACGCCGGACTGGAGACGGAGCCGCAGAGCTCGCCCCCGGCATCGCCCCCGGAGTCGCCGTTGTTGGGGCCCGCCTCACCGGAGATGTCGCCCAGCCCGGAAATTCTGACGCTGCCGCTCCCAAAGGCAGGAATTTTCTTCGGGCGAGCGGAATTGCAAATGACAACATCAGGTGATAGATGAAGAGGAGAGCATGAACGATGTCCCAGTCTGCGGTGGAGGCTTGGGAACTTGTCAGACGCGTGTGAGGGAGAAGAGTCGATGCCCAATGGGCAGGCACATTGGAGGACCTCCTCTCTCCCTGTGCAGGCCAAAGTCTCAGTGTCTCACTCGTGCAAGGCGACAAGGCGAGTTGCAAGGCTGCAAGCCGGCAAGCCAGCAAGGCGAGCGCAAACTCAGGATCGCTGACGCCATGGTGGCGCAGGCCCGGGCCCGTTCCCACCCCTTTCAGGGACTCCGATCCACCCGCAGGCACGGAGTGAGTCCCGTCCAGAAGGGCCTTTGCCTCAAAAGAGAGCCGTGCCGTGCCTTGTGGACTTTCTATACTTCGTTGACTTCGTTGACTTACTTGACTTAGTAAATGTTTTCTATACTTTTGTCTCTAGGACAAGTCTGCGCCGCTGTGCAGACGGAAGGGAGGCCCACGAACACGAACAAGAAGAAGGCACGCAGAAAGCCAGCACATGCGAGCACGAAAGACACGGTGCACGGGCAAATAGCGAGTACCAGATGTCCTGGCAGAAGCGATCTCTGGCAACTGCGATGAAGGTAGCCCAGGAGAGAGTTGCTTTTTTGGTTTTTCGGTGTCCGCCAGTGTTCCGGAGTTCACTCTTTGGCAGGAAGATGCGACTTTCGACTACCGGGATTTGCTCGTTGCAGCCCACAACCGTCGGGTGAATGCCGAACGAGCAAACGATCTGCTGAGTGGGGTTCAAGAAGCAGTCCCTGGCGAGAGAGACAGCAAATCCAGCCAGGGCAGGACAGGGAGCAAAGCCAGCCAGATGGTCCCCAGTGAGCGGGAAGAGAGCAGATCCAGCCACGGGCGACTCAGCCAGTCCAGCCAGGCCACCCAGGCCGCCGAAGTCGCCAAGGCGGTACAGGACATTGAAAAGACTGAAAAGACTGAAAGGACTGAACGGACTGAAAGGACTGAAAGCGAGGCATCCTTCGATCCTAAGCCTCGTACGCGAAAAGCAGTGTCTTTACCAGTTCCAGACTCGCACTTTCGACTCCTTGAAGAGAACAGGCGCAAGGCTAAAACTGCCAAAAGTGCTCAAGCCGTGCCTGCCGATGAAAAAGAGACTGAGGCTTGGCTTCACGGCTTGGCTTGAGGACTTTCGGGAGGGAACCGCCCATCCAGAAAGCAATAATCATCTAAGGATCAGATGTTCACCAACCCGCAAACTTACTTCGAAAAGAGGGCTGCAAAAGGCAGGGACGGTTTGATGTTTGACGGTTTACTCGACGTGAGAGTCCGATGTGGCTTCAAGGCGACGCTCACTGCCAACTGGTGGCCTTGAGCTTCACAAGGACGGAGTGAAGAAGTGAAGACTTATTTCTTGTTCTTTTCTCAGTGCGCTAGATTCACAGTGCTAAGCATGACACGTGCAAGTGCTTGCACTGTACACTTCAACTGTCGTATTTGCATGCGCCCTTTTGTAGCCTGACCATGGGTTGTAGCTCAAGGCCTGCGGTTGAGTGCAACACATGAAGCATGTCAACACAGTGCTGAAGTAGTTGGTTGTTGTCAAGTAGCAAATAGTAGTCCCATGTGTAGCCGTTTCTGAGGGTGTAGTGGGTTGATTAGGGTAGTCTCTGTGAAGTAGTCGAGGTGGCCATCGCGAAGTAGTTGCCATCTTTTGTAGTCGGTTGTAGATTGGTTCATATAGGTGTCCGGGGAGTGCATGTAGTGGAAGAAACTGCCGGTGTGGTGTAGTGTGCACCATGTGGTTGAAGTTGTCAATTGTAGTTGGGTCGTCGCTTCCAGTAGTGAGGAAGCAGGAAGCAGTAGCGCTCCACCGCGAGTGGAATGTAGCATTCGGTGCATGGAGTTGCAGTTGGAATCGGTGGGATTGCACGTAGTGCCAGCCTTGTAGTGATGTGTAGGTCGAAGTTGCTGGGGTCGTCGTAGACGTCGTGTAGTTTCGGTTGGCTCGACTCGTGTTTCATTCCTTCTTTCAGTAGTTTTTCGTCGAAGCCTTCGTTGTCGGAGAGTATGGGTCATTCTCTGTCGTTGTGGTTCTGGTTCTCTGGTGGTTTCTTCCGTTGTTCTGTTGCATATTACTTCTTCCAGAGCATGCGTCGTAGATATGGTCGAGATGGTGGTGCTGGAAGTGGTAGTGGTGGATGTTGTCGTCCCGTGTCTTTTGTTCTGACATTCGAAGTTGGTTATCCAGTGGTGTCGCGAACGACGGGTGGTAGGTGTTACGTCATGGTGAGCAGGGCGAACCAGTGATCTTGTTCAAGTTTGGTTGCAGTCGACGTACGGTTGCCCTGTTCTGTTGAAGATTCTGTTGGACGTAGTTTTCTTCAGTTTCGGAAGCTTTTCCGAGCCAAACGCATTGCATTCGGAGATCTGCTTTTGGAAGTGTCTTGCGTTGTGGTTGAAGGTAGAGTTTTGTTTCGCCGAACTTGCAAACTCCTCGTTCGTAGTTTCTTCCCCAGCGGCGTTCGAAGTTTGTGTAGCCGTCTGAGTGAAAGATGTAACGATCGACTGTCCATGCTGCATGTCGTACTATCCACGATAGTCGAGCCTGTTGTGTTGGCATGACATTGTCATGCTGTAGTTGCGTTCAGCTTGTGCTTTAACGCTGCACATTTGTCCAAGAAGTTTTCTGTGTAGTCGTTTGCCTGACTATTGCTGCTGTAGGACGGTGAGTGACGTAGTACGACGTACAGTCATCGAGCCGACTTTGGATGCTGTTGCTTTGAGTAGTGCGTTGAGTGTCTTTCGTTGTCGCTTTGTAGTATGCCGTGTGGTAGGTTGTTGATCATGCAGGCCATCATTCATGCCTCACCCGGAACCAATCCCGCCATGCAAAGTTGTGTAGTGGCATCAACAGCGGCTAAAACTGGTGTGGGTTTTCGGATCTTTGCGATTTGATGTGGCGAAATCTACTTGAGTGATGGGTTGTCGTGATTGTTGTTCCTTGTAGTTGTCTTGGCGTGCTCTGCCTTCCGCTCAAATTGGACACCAATTTCGGTATGGCAGGTGTGCTAGATTGTGCTCTGCTATTTGTTGTGGCGCTCGTGCTTTGTGTGCTTCGTGATGTTCGGGTTGTTGTTCTTCTTCGTAGTCCTTTCGGGGGTATTCGTAGTCTTTCTTGATGGTGAACCCTGCAGTACCCTTCCATTGGAATGGTATTGTTGCGTCGCCGACAACTGTCCAGTCTTTGCGTTGTGAAACTTCACGGAAGTTGCGGTTGGAGATTGTAGCTTTAGAAGGAGGGCACAAACGACCATGCAAAGCACTCTTCACCTCGCAAACTGTGGTTGCCCAATACCAGAAGAACAACTAGATGATTAGCGACTAACCATCATAAACAGACAAGGACAAGAACAAGAACAACTACAAGAGAACATCAAACAACTTTACAAACAAGAACTACAAAACAGACTTGAAGGTGAGGACTGGGCTGGAGAAGCCACATTCCAAAGGAAAGCCGCACCCACACACCGAATCAAAACAAAAAACTAGACCAACACGACAAAGCTCAAATCACAAGCTACAGTAGAGACACCACAAACAAGATCAAAGCTACAACTACGGGCTCCACAAAAGATACGGAGATCCAAAACAACACCTTCAACAGACATCGACACTACACTACCAAAAGCAACCATACGTCGACCACCAACAGCACAACTGGGAAAGACAAGGCGAACACTGGGTAAGACACCACACAACACAGCGAACCACACTTTTCACACCTACAGACGGATTAGGACATCGGATGGCGTACTCACCATCGAGTTTCCAGTAATCAGCGTTTCCACCAAGGATTCGTCTTCATCCTTGGATTGTGTGTGTGTGTGTTAGTGGTGCAATTTGTTCTGGTTGTTGTCGCTTGGTTTTCTCTGTTGGCTGTCTTATCCTGTAGGGATGTCGATCTTGTCTCGCAAGTAGAAACGTCCTGTGTGTCTGATTTGTGCTTGTTGTTGTCCGTGGGTGGTGGTGCAGTGTCGTGGGTTGAAGTCAAGTCCATATCCTCTATCAAGTAGTCTTGACGCACTGAGGATAGGATACTTCACATCACAAAAACGTAGTAGGACATCATAATCCTGAAGTTGCCCTACAAGCAGTGATGCCATAGACAGGAATCTTTTTGTTGGTCACGGTGTAGAGTTGTGGAACTGATTCTCCACAAGGTCGTAGTGGTAGATCCGGCGCATAGTCCTTTGGGCAAACATGTGTACAATCAACAGGTAGTGGTATGACTTGAAGTTGGAGTACATGATGTAGTGAGTGATGTTGCCATTAATTTTCGGTTTTTCTGCTTTTGTGATTCTGTCATGTAAGGGCTGTTGGTAGTTTAGTAGTTGGTGCTGTGTGGGTCATTCCGTGATGTTGTATGAGATGCTCTTTTCCCGTAGCCGTGATCGTTCCAATCCCAACTGTTGCTATGCCAGTCGTAGTCATTCCAGTTCTCATCACGCCCATGTCCTTCTTCTCCCTTGTGCTACCAGTCCCAAGTGTTGTTGATGTCCTGAGGAGACTCCTCGTTGTTGTGCTGAGCTCGTAGTTCTTCTCCTCCTCCTGTGTGCCATACTGGGACCCTGCAGTCCTGTGCCCAGTGGCCGGGTTTACCACATCTGCAGCCCGTCATGCAGTTGCTGTTTCCTTTTGCTTTTGTTTTGTTGTAGCTTCCTTGGCCTCTGTATCCTTGCTTGATCCATAGCCTTTGGATCCGCTGTAGCCTTTGTCTTTGCTCTTGTTGTATCCTCCCTTTTTGTATCCTCCTTTGTTGCGTTTGTAGAACCCTTTGTAGCATCCTTTGCTTCTGTACTTGCCTTTGCCTTTGCTTCCTTTGTAGTGTCCTTTGTAGTGTCCTTTGTAGTGTCCTTTGTAGTGTCCTTTGTTCTTTGCCCTTGCAGTTTCCTCCTTTCCGCCAAACCGTATGTTGTCAACGCCCATTGGAGCTGGTCCTTCTTTGTAGGTTGTGCCCATTGCTGAAGTCGGTCTTGAGAAAGCCATTGACTCTTTCGCAGAAATTGACGTCGTATGTCCACTGTAGGAATTGTTCTTCGAACCGTGCTTCGTTGAATGTTGGTTCCAGTAGTTTGGTGAGGTGGCCAACGCTTTGTGCTCCTGTGGGTAGGCTGGATTTGTTGCGCAGTAGTCGTAGTGTTTCACAGCCGTTGGCATTGTAGCGGTTCTGTCGTAGTACTGTAGCTGATGGCCCTTGACAGATGTTGATGATAATGTAGGGTAGATCTCTTGCGAGATCTACAGCGTTTGTCGTTTGTGTAGCATCACGTATGTATGTGGGCTCTGATGTCCGCATCCTCAATCTGTGTAGCCACTTGTGCTAGCTGTCATACCAAGTCGATGTCTCTGTTGATTAGCCCAGCGCAGGCTTGTAGCTTGAAGAGCTGTTATTTGAATTGCGAGTAGTCACCATTCAAGAATGGTGGTGGCAGCTTGTATCTATGTAGTCTTTGGACGTTGTTGTCTTGTTCTTGTGCTTCTCCTGCGGTTGTTACTCCTACTGTCTCCTCTGCAGTTGACCTGTTGCCTGTTCCTGTAGTGGGTTGTGCTGACGCTGATGCTGTTTTTGCTGACATGCTGTAATAGTTTGGCATGCAGTGGCTTTGCTGCTGTTGTGCTTGCTGTCGTATACTGGAGCTTCTCTCTATGTGCGACAAGTGCAAGGGCTGGTAGTGTTCACCACTTCAACTGTAATTGTATCTACATGTGGCTTTTGGTAACCTCAGTATGGTTTGTAGCTCAAGGCTTGGGGTAGTATACAATACACGAAGCATTTCAACAAGGAGTGCCACATGTAGTTTGATATTTTGTAGCTTCCGCCAGGACGTGAAGCATGTGGGCAAGCAGAAGGGAAGCGCACGAGCACTAATCACCAAATTGGTAGTGCGAGTGGCGTGATCACAGTGGCTCTCCAAACGTGTTGAGAGCTTGTTTTCAATCAGCTAGAGCACTGAGAGTGTTGTCTGAAAGCGCTTGCAGGCAGCTTATGTTGGTGCAACTTGCGCAGCACTGCTTGCGCAATGCTTCAAGACGTTGATAGGTTCAAGGGAGTGCTGGAAAATCAGTCAGTCGAATGTACTTGTCATGATTCGTAAGCTTCTGGAACGCAAGGATTGTGCAAAACATCAGGATTAGCCGCTTAGGCTTGGCAGTCTGGCATCAGTGTCGTGCCTTGTGAAAGCATCACTGGCTATGGTTGGGAAACTCAGTCAGATTAGTCAGATTGTGCTTTTGGTGGGAGCAACGGATGCCTGAATTGAGGCGCATGTAGCGCCTTGGATCGCATTCGCTTGTGTTTCCCATGTTCTGATAGCTAGACCTGTTGCGAGAGTCTCATGCAGATCTTGCAGGATGGCCGCGACTCGCCTCAGGCAGCAAGAAAAGAAGCCTTATATTTGCTTTTGGCTGCACCTTGGGTTCAATTGAGGGCTGGACAACTGACAGGCATCGGGAACTCTTCTTACAGCAGAGGAGGAGAGTCGACAGGAGTCGGTGCATGCTACTATCACAGCACTATGAGGAGATGCAGTACCAGCGCGCCCTATGGGTGAACCGGCTCCTGAAGGAGCAACTTTCTTGAAGCGAAAGGCCAAGATTCAGCGACCAATCATGAACCCCAAAAGCTGCATCCTCTGGAGCGTCAAACTTTGCCAGGAGCAGTTGGCCACCCAGACGCAGGGCCTGTCACTGAAGGAGTATGTGGTTGCTGTGTCCGCTTTAACGACCTCCTCCGCCTTGCTGTCATCCCCTTGGCACATATTTCCTTGTCGAGTTCTCAGATTCTCCGATCTTTCATCTAGCTTGAAATTCCTGAAATTCCTCCACTCGCCTTTCGCTTCTCTCTCTCCCTTGGCTTTTGCTTCGGGCGATTTGCCAGGAGATCGAGGAGGCGCAGGGTCAGATCCAAGCGAGGATGCGCCAGGCTGCGCGCTTGCAGGCCTGGGCTCGTGAGACTGGAAGGCAAAGCGCTAAGCGGGGTGAGGCATGGTCCTCCCAACATGGACCAGAACCAGTGAGTGCCAGGACGGGTTTCGATGAATCGATTCAAGCCGTCACATGAGGGTTCCATTGAACTTCGGCAGCGTTTTAGTGTTTTCCGGGAGGAGCTATGCGCGGTCGCCGCGGCGAAGTCACACACAGCCCGGCACCACGAGACATTCGGAAACGATTGTTTCATTCGAAATCGGGAAAGTTTGCTCGGATGTTGCATTGCCATGACAAGTCTCACGCATGTCCTCTCCGAGGCAGGCTCGCGCCCAGCACATGTCCTCCTGTGAAGTGAATCGAAGGCCCTGTCAGTCGGTTTGGTTTGGCTTGTTTCCCTGGCCAAAAGCTATGAGGATTCTAACTTGAAAGAAACGGGCTGCCCAGGGTGCTGATGCAGCGTGCTGCAGGGTGTTCATGTAAGGTTTTGCTGCAGGGTGTTTGTTGCTGGAGAGTGTGAAGTGCGACTGAGAGTTGCGCCGTCCGAAGGGTGGTAGGTTGTTTTGCGTGGCGGGGTGCTGCAGGGTGCGACTGGAGAGAGGAGAGAAAGAGAGAGAGAGAGGGAGAGAAAGAGAGAGAGTGAGAGATAGTGACTGAGAGTTGCCTATGCTTTTGAAGGGTGCTGTTGTGCTGGTGCTGTTGCGCCAGAGTGTTTCTGCATATATGACTGGTACTTTCGCATATGTTGTGGAGCACCTTCTCTTTTGGTACCTCAATTCCATTCTTGCAATCTTGGGTCAAGGCTCACATTTGATGGGATCACGGGCACGCGAAGGAAGCAGCAGCACCGCATCAAGGAGGAGAACCTGGGAATCCTGCAGCGTTTGGAGAACGCAGCTCGATGGGGAGCTAGAGCTCGGAGCTTGAATCAGGGCGTTTTTTGACGGAGCTCAGGTGAAGAGCAGCTTCACCCCCCGAATGCCTTCCAGCCTCATTCCAAAGATCTCAGCACGCAACAGGCAGGGAGAGAGAGAGGGAGAGAGAACGAGATGCTTGGAGATACGAATTTCAGTCGGATGCATAGGCTTCTGAATGGGCATTGACCGCAAGCGCGTGCTCGATGCGGTTTCTGCCTCTCACCTCCACTTAGGCTCGCTTGTACTTGCTCCAAAACGGAGCTGGAAAAAATGCACGCAAACAGAGGCATTTGAAGCACAGTGGGGTTGAATCTTGTCCGCTGTTTGCAGAGAGCAAGCCAGGGCTCTGCTGTTGAAGAGCAAAGCTCGAAAGTTGTACACATTATTGCCCTGACACGAATGGAGTGAGCAAGAGATGTGAGAATATCACAGACCCAGAAAAGACTTTGCTGACACCTACAGGGCAGGTTAGTGTGCTATGGTGCTTCCGCCTCTTTCGGTGCGGAGCTCGGGATTTTGTGATGCTCCGGGATTCACTGTTGGCCCATTGAACACTCAGGGCAACGGCGAGCCGAACCCTTGAAGCAACGATGCGGGTCGTTTGTGAAAGCAACTCCCGAGCTTTGTGAGGCGACTCTGCAAGAGTCAGGCAGCGTGGCAGCATGGCATCGGCATGTGCGAAGCGCTTTGCGCCCGCACCCGCAGGGACTGCTGCCACCATGGATGAAGTCTGATGACATGCAGGCGGAGCCGTTGAGCCGTTGAGCCGTTGAGCTGAGCCGTCGCGTTAATTGAAATTGACCGTCGAGAGCGACACAGGTGCAGACGCCGTTGAAGGTGCCGCCCACGCCGAAGCCTCCGGCGCTGCCAGACACCTCCTGGGTGGCTGGCTGAGAAAGTCCGTAGACAGTCTTTTAGGAAGCTTGATGGCAACTTGCTGTCGAGTCTATGATGTATGTCCATCATGCCCCTTCCGCCCAATCCAAGTAATCCTCTCTACGAATCACTGAGATGCGCATGGTGGAAGCTCGGCGGCAGCACACGGAAGCTTGGCTGGGCCCGAAAGCCTGGAGACTCAGAGCCGGACCTTGCTCTGCTTAAATCTCCAACATTTCTCGAATTTTCATGTTTCAGATGTTTTTCTTTCCTTCGCATGGTTTCTTTGTTTGTTTGTTTGTTTTTCTTGGCTTAGGCAGACCATCCGAAGCCGCGCACCAAACTGCGTGGCAGCACACCAAAACGGCCCGGAGCCCATTGCCACATTCTCTCCGGCGTTCGGGGAGCGTGGCGTGTCTCAGGCGTGCGGAGTCACAAGACTGGGGCTACGAGGTTCGGAACTCACGTGGACGGGGTTCGTTCGGATTTCTTTCTTTTCTTTCGGATTTCGTTCTTTCGTTCGTTTGGTTCCGGCTTGTGCGGCGTGGTTTTTTGCGGGTTGGCGGCATTCGTGGCCCACCCCAATCTCTCCGGAAAGTCGGAAGCACACCGCTCAACCCTAAATTGGTCCCGCATTTGCCTCTCTGTACCAACCCTGAATCCATCCTTTTGCCCACCCTAACCCCAGCCTAAACCCACCTTAAAGACTTAGACCCAATCCAAAATCCACTGATACCCACCAAACAAAGCCAACTAAAAATGAAGCCCAGCCCTAAGCCAACTAATCCCATCCCTCTAAAAAAAACTCGTCGATGTCGAGGCCCGCGACCTGGACCAGAAGGTTCTGGCGAGGCTTTTGCTGGACCTGAAGGCGGATCGATCGACGGAATCGATCGAATTGATTTGCTTGGATCGCACGGCCTTGATTTGGGCTGTTGGCCGCTCGAGGAGCGCCTGGCGAAGGAGCGGCTGCTCACTTCAGCGGCTGAGGCCCTTTGGAACTTGGGTTCAGATCGGGTTCATCAGATGCCATCGGATCACTCCGTTGGAAGTGCGAGTCGCCCCAAGCACCAGGACTCCATGGCGTATGGGGTTGCAATCCACACATCCGGGGCTCTGCGATCTTTCGACACCGATAGGCTCTGCCGCAGGACGACAAAGGAATAGGTGACAGGACCTATTGAGTGCAATTGCGACCTGCAAGAATTGCAAGATCCAAGCTCCAACACACAAGCGACCGCGAACCAATATGTTATCGACATCCAATTCCCTGCTGCCAGTCGGCAAAGGAGGATGCCGTTTGTGATTCACGTTGATGTCTTAATGTTGAGACCCTGTGAGACCACACGGAAGTAAAAACCTGACATGAGTGGATGTTGTACCCGCAGCTATGGACCAAGGGATGCTTTCTAGAATGAAGCTCTCTCTTTGCCAAATGAACAACTGACAGCTGCTGCATTTAGACAGAAGTCAGGACAAAACGGCGTTGCAAGGCCAACAATTTGTGTGAAAGCCTTGAATGTCGCTGTGGAGAAATTCAGTAGTCAGCTGCTCTTTTCGTCGGTCTCTTGTGTAATTAGGTGGCTTGGGATTGATAAAGCAGCTTATCGGCTGTGGGCCAACGGGGCTTCGAAGGATAATGGCGTAGAAACAGGGTTTGCGCTCGGGGTGTGACTTCCCCGTCCCGTGAGGGTTTTGGTGCCGTGTTGCCAACTCAATCATTCGACGGCTCGATTGTCGCCCAGAACTCTACTGCTTCGATTCACGCGTCGCAAGTCGCCAAGTAACGTCGGCAGAGGCATCTGACTTGACTGCTGCCTTCGCAGCGATCCACGCCAGACACAACGCACCAACCAGCGCCTAACTGGAGTGTCCTGCAAGGCCTTCACGACTCCTTGGCAACGCCTAAGCAGGCGTTGGCGCGCCTGGTGTGCGCGCCCAGTCAGAGAGCAAGCGAAAGAAGCCGCCAAGTGCGCAGTCGGCGTGCAGGCTCAGAGGTGATTGGTTGCCGCAATACAGCTGCCTGACGTGGGCAGCGAGTGTGCCAGATACCAGGCAGACTTTTTGGCCATGCCACCAAGGGCTGTGTTTAAGGTGTTTGTCATCCTGCAAGAGCCAACAGTCGCGCCAGCAACGAGCTGCGCGAAGGGGGAAGATAGCAGGCGAAGCGTAGGCTTGATTTCAGATGGGCAAGCGCGTGAGCTTGTTCGCACAGGTTGTGACGTTTCACAAGAGGTGTAGGCAAAGAGTCGCTGACAGCGCATAGATACTGAAGTCTTGAGCCCTTCGGTATGGGGTGCAATCCACAGCCCCCGCATCCGAATTGCAGATTGAGGATGCTACGCGGCAGGTTTGCACACACTTGACATGACAAAGCTCGCTACGCGAACATCGTTAAAAATACTGCAGCTTTCAAACGCGCAGCATTGAGACGGACTTGCCACTCACAGCCCCGACCAGTTGCTCCAATCTTGCCCTTGGACACGACGGGACGACGGGACCACTTGAACGAGAAGGAAGGAGCAGCTTTCGCCCTGCGGGCATCAACAGCCACATGCCCTGACACACTTGCGCCCCCGGCTGCCCTAGGGCCAATCTGTAGATCTGTATGGCTCACGCCTTAAAACGAAGCGCTGGCGCACCGCCGTAGGAGTCCTGCCGAAAGACCTCGCGAGACGTCACAGCGACTTGCGTGCGCCACAGCACCCCCCCTACGACCGTTCGAGAGGCTGTGGTAAACAGCCAGAACACGTGACACACACGACATTGAATGAGGAAGGGCAAAGACCCGTTGCGATGCATTTCGCTTACAACAACGCAAGTACTGCTGCGAGCAGCTTGAGAATCCAAGCAACAACGCCTCCGAACTTATGGGCGCCGGAGATTGGTTTTGAAGAATCGATGGTTTGATGCGGGCGAGGGTACGCAGCATCTCTGCATGATTTCTGACTTCGAGAATCGGGTGTGCGCATTGTGCAGGCAATAGCAAAGGATATGATAGAGGACGTGTTTCAGTTTTGGGGAATCAGCTAGCTGTTGAGCATTGCCCAGACAATTTCTGTTTTTGTCACCCTCTGCAACTACACGAATGACAAACCAAGAGGCGAAGCTTCGGCGGACGGAGCCGTGGCCCCGAGGGATTCTTTCAACTCGACTCTCCGAGTCTCGAATTCGAAGGTCCGCATGCCGATTCGATGGCCTCAGCTCGGCGGCCAAAGCCAAGAGCCTCTCCAAAGCGCAGGAGGGAGCACATCGAAGTGCGTGGAACATGCGTGATTTGCATCCGGCGGAAGCATTTGGCTTTGACGTGCAAGTTGTTTTTGAGTGCTCAAGAAATGGTCCTTGGTACGTCTCCTCGTTGCCGAATTCTCTGGAAGGCTTGTGGATGGTACCACAGCAATGCGGCCGGAGTGGAGAACCTGGAGCCGCCACCCAGACCCAGGCGCAAGCCGACATGGGGGAATGTCGGAATGCCCGGATTGCACGGAAGTGAGGGCATGTCATACGTAGCTCGGGTTGTTTTGGTCAAATCCACAGGAAGGAGCCACCGCGCGCAGCTTGCCCCTACGCCACCGCGCTTGTGGCCTGCTTAATCCTGCATGAGCTTATCCGGGAACCCGAAGCCGTGACGAGCTTGCTCTTCCTTTTTGCTTGTCTTTTGCTTCTGCCAGGCAGACGGGCCAGGCTGTTGATCAAGCTGTTTCCTGTTTCATCCTTCGTTCTTGGCAATCCGAAGGAACGCCAAGATGTGCGTTGCGTGCAAGAAAAGCCCGCCTAAGACGGGCTCGAGTGCTTGAGCTGCTTGTGCTCCAGCCCGAGCGATGCAAGACCGTTCACCCCAGGCTTATACCTGTGACTGGTCTAGAATCACCGAAGCAGGTCAGCACATGGCTGGGTCCATTCTTTCCAAGACCCTTGCAAGCACTTCAAACTCAGGTCCGCTCATTGTTTCATGCATCACATTGCATCACATGGCATCGCAACGCGTCACAATGCATCTCAATGTATCACAATGCACACATGCTTTAGTCTAACGACATAAATGTAGGGACGCACCAGCTCCGCGCATGCGGCATGGCTCGGGCCTCGCCATGCGAAATAGTGCAGACGCGGAATACGTCCCTTTACAGCCGATGTCCCGCTTCGGGGTTGTAGAACTTAAAGGTTTCTACTGAGAGAACCATGGCCCACAGCAGATTTGACAAAGCCACTTGGCGCAGACGTCAAGTGTGTGCAGCATGGGCTCAGGCGGCCTTGATGGTCACAGCTGTTCCTCCAAGTCTCGGAGATGTTGCGGAGAGTCCATCTTCTTGGGAGGCCAGCTCGATCGAGCTTGATCGAAGTTGAAGCAATGCAGCAAGCTCGTTTTCTCTCCAGATTGGCTTTGATCGAGTGGTACTTGGCCCATCCGTGGGACAAGGGGCAGAGAGCTCAGAGAGCTCAGAGAGCTCAGAGAGCTCAGAGAGCTCAGAGAGCTCAGAGAGCTGAGACTCGGAGATCTGAAGTGCTCAGGTCACAGCCCACGTGTACCAGGCGAGGAAAGCGTTGCTGTGCGATCACATGCATTTGCCAACTTGCCAGGCGCTCCTGGACGGAAGATTCCAGGCGGTTTGAGAGGATAGGAAAGGACAGAGAGTCACAGAGTTGAAGAATGTTTCGGGCCCAAGATGCGACATCTGTGCCATGCGCGCCTTGGGCTTGTGGTTTCAGCCTGTGCTCAGTCGCGTGATTTGGAACGACGGGTTCTGTGACCTGGTGCTTTTGCATGGCAACCAGTCACTCACCCTCCACGCCCGCACCTTTCGGCACTTTGAGAAATCCGAGAGCGAGGTCCAAGTGGCGCGGAAGGGCGTTCCCGGAGCGCTGTGGCGCTTCGAAGCCACAGCTGGCACTGGCGCTGCCTCTTGCCGAGCAAACAGTAAACGGTTATGGGAAAAAGTTAACGCAAGAGCCCTCGCTTCTCTGACTCTCTGAGGTCCGCATCCCCCTGCACGGTGATGGCTGGGACTGTTCCCAGGTCCAGCCGAGAGCGGCCGGGGCCGGGGCCTGGGCCGGCGCCTGGCTGGTCCTGGTGGGGTCCTTGCTGGCGATCACAGCCTCGGCCTCCCACTCCAAGCACTCGTCCAAGCTGGAAACTTTGGCTTGGGCCAGCGTCGCAGCCTTCTACTACGTTTACGGAGCCCTCGAGGTCTTCAAGCTGAGCACCGAGTACCAGCAATACTGCACAGAGGTGCTGGGTGGTGATAGGTTATGCGGATTGCACAAGGTACCGTTTCTCTCATCGATGTTTGGTGGACGCCGATGGGACAAGAAGGACTTCCAAACCAGGGACTTGGTTGCCAGCTTTCCCTTGATATTGGCTTTTGCTGTTGGCTATGTGTTGGTGAAGGCGGTGTCGCGGCGGTTAAAGCTTGAAGTTGTGGCCACGCTGGCGATGGGCATCGGCTATGTGGTGGTGCTGCACGAGTTCACCATTCTGCTGCCCATGACCTACTCCGCAGCGAATTATGGCCTCACGCGCTGGCTCCTGCGAGCGAGCGGAGCCTCAGCGAGGCGGCTGGTCCCAGCGGTGTGGCTGCTGGCGCTGGCGGGTATGGCCATGGCTGGCAGAGAGCTGACGCTGGCGCAGCTCCTCTCAGGCCTTGGCCGGGGCCTCCCATGGGCCCCATGGGCCCCATCAAGCTGGATTCGCTGGATGGACCGCTTCCGAGGGGAGCTCTTCTGGGCGAGCGTTTTCCGGTTCTGGGTGCTGAGATGCCTCAGCTGGAGCCTCGACCTGCACCGTGCATACCAGGCCCAAGGCGACCAAGGCGACCAAGGCGACCAAGGCGACCAAGGCGACCAAGGCGACCAAGGCGACCAAGGCGACCAAGGCGACCAAGGCGACCAAGGCGACCAAGGCAAAGGCCCTGAAACTGCCAGCAATCAAAGCGACTACGAGGACCGGGTCAAGCAGAACCGCCCCCTGAGAGACTACTACAGTCTGCAGCTCTATTTTGCATATTTGCTTTATCCCCCGCTCTACATGACAGGTCCCATCATTACCTTTAATTCCTTTGCCTCTTACATGCAGAAACCTCAGACGGAGATACGTGGCACCGCTTTGGGCATGTTTTGGGCAAGGTGGTTGATAAACACCTTCCTCTTTGTAGCGTTCGGCCACTTTCTGTACACGTCAGCCATCGCCATCAATGGCCCACATGTCCTCGTGCGGGGCTTCAACGCCGTGGTTTTTGACCACCTCATGAACTTCGGGCAAGATGGCGAAAGGATGATTTGGTTCTCCTTCTGGAGCCTCTTGGGGCTTTGGTTCAAGTTCCTAGCAATTTGGAGGTTTGCACGTGGCTGGGCGCTCTTGGATGGTGTGGCACCTCTCGAGAACATGGAGCGCTGCATGTGCAACAACTTCTCGGTGCGTGACTTTTGGCGCGGTTGGCACCGGAGTTTCAACCGATGGCTGGTGCGCTACGTCTACGTGCCCCTTGGGGGGTCTGCTTCGCTCTGGCGCCAGGCGCTGGCCACTCTGCTGGTCTTCAGCTTCGTGGCGTTTTGGCACGAGCCCAGCGTGTTGTTTCGCTTCAACGCCCAGGAGAGGCGGTTGCTCGCCTGGGGGTGGCTGCTGGCCCTCTTCGTGCTGCCCGAGATGCTGGTGGAGCGTTGGTGCCAGCGACCCGCGCCCCAGGCCCAGTTAAATCTTTTGCGGAACTTGTCGGCAACTTCTTTGTCTCTCGTGCTAGTCTTGTCTCTCGTGTCTCTGGTGTCTCTCCCATCTGTCTCTCATCCAGTCACTCTGATCGCTGATCTCCTTGCTCTTATGTTCCCATTGTTTGGAGCTGTGCCAGAACATCACATGTTGGATGTTTTGGCGTTTGACGTGTGCCGTGTTGCTGTGGTGATGTACTTGCCGGCGAACGAATTACCGAAATCGTTTGTTGGAGCCAAATTGATGGCTTAGTGCGAGCGCGCTGCAAAGGCAGACGGGGCAAACTGCCAGAAGAGCACTTTGCAGAGACAATTTTGTTTGTGAGGGTCTTTGCGCTCACTCTTTGCTCCAGGCGTTCCTTCGCCGCTGGCCTTTGCTGACGCGGCACCTGAGAGCACTGGCTGGGGCCTTCTGCATAGAGATGCTGATTCTGGCCAACCTGGTGGGCTACTCCTATGGCTTGCAGGGGGCAGAGTACCTCTTGGCCTGCGGGAACGAGAAGCTGTTCCTCGTGTCCTTCGCAGCTTGGCTCTGTGCAAAGACACAGCTGATGCTCATGATCCGGGCCGGCGGCAAAGAAAATTCACGCGGACCCGAAGAGCACCCAGGGCGCTGAACGCGTTTTTTTTTTTTTCCGCTTTCCGATGGCCAGGTGGCAGTGAAGCAAATCAATGACATGGACAAGTCCAGCTCAGAGACGGCCAGCTTTGATGTGAAGATTCGTTTGCCTGCTCTGAGCTGCAGGATCAGCGTGCGTTTGAGCGCGAAGTTGCCGTTCTCATGAGGACTTTGAATGCCGGCCCGCCAGACTGGTCCGTGCACACATGCATCCGTGCATCCGTGTAGGACGTGCCATGAGCATTTGGTGAAGTTTTTAGGGATCTCATCCATGCAGAGGCAGGGCTTGGAATTGCAGATGCGCCGGAAGCTGTGGTGCGGACTCAGGCCCTTCCGAATCATCACGGAGCTCGCAGCTCAGCAAATCGGGAGTTGCGCTGAAACCTTAAGAAGAGAAGATGATTTCGAGTTCGGTCCCGTTTGCAGGTACTGTGCCGGAGGCACAGTCTTCTCGTTGCTGCACAACCAAGAGCTTCTGCCTCAGAGAGAGCGCGGGCATCGGCCACTAACTGCCGGGACCAAGGGTGGCGCTGGTGTGGTCGGCGCCCTGTCGTGTGATACGCTGTCATTGGAATCATTCCAGATCTAGGCCACAAAAGCTACGAATTTGCGTGGATGTTGCAAAAGCCATGCGCTACCTGCACGAGTGGGGGCCTACTTTGAGTTCCTGTCTGTCGTATGGATTCAAGCTTTTAGGTTCAACCCACAGGTTATCCACAGAGTCCGAACCTTAACAGTATGCTGGAGTCGAGACCCGACGCATTTGTCAAGGACCTGAAATCGTTGAATTTGCTCCTGGTGAACCCGGTGAACACCCAGTCAGACATCCCATTCACAAAGGCGCCAATGTTGGATTGCCACGCTCCCACTTGCTTTCCATTTTCTCCCTTTTTCCCCTTGCGAGGTCTCGGACTTTGGGCTGGCGAGGATCAAGTGGCAGGCCAGACGCGCCGCGTGCCCACGTGCCCTCGCGGCCCTGAGTGAGGCACCGGACTCCACTTGGGGCAAGATGACCAGGGCTGCCGGTGGGAGCCCCGAACCTTCGAAAGTTTCAGGCTTTTGGTCCGCAGCTCCCGGACAGACTCGTCTTCCGTTGGGAAGACCGGCTAGTGTGTTCTGTGGCAAATGCCAGGGACGTGCCACTGGATGGCGCCGGAAGTCTTCGTGAGTCACACCTATGACGAAAAGGTGTGGAGCAAGCGGGACTTGAAAGCAAGACGTGTCTCCTTCATGGCAGGTGGACTTGTACTCGTACGCCATGATCCTTTTCGAGTCCTGCCGGCCCCGAATTTCTGCTGCGATTACCTTTGAGGTGTCTTGAGTTTGGTAGGCTTGGGTAGACACCCTGCATTCCTCAATTCAGCAACCTCATGCTATTGTGGCCCAAGTGCTTGATCCAAACTGTCCGAGGTTTTTCTCTTTGCTAGGAAGCGGCAGTAATGGTGGTCGCGACTGACGTTGCCTGATATGCCTGTGGCAGGGTGATTTGCCAGGAGATTCCCTTCGAGGACTCTCAAAATTGCGGTGTGTGCAGCGATGGCCATGTATCGTCAGGATCAGAATCCTGCGGACATTGGTCGTTTGGCAGTGAAAGGCTGCCGCCGCGCCCTGAGCTCGAAAGCACTACAGGATTTTGTTCCCGTCAGGGTTTCTGCTCCAGCTCCGGAGGTGCAAATGTTCTAGCTCAAACCCGTGTTTTGTTTCAGCTAAAAAGTGAAAGGCGCAATTGAACATTAGACAATTGATTTTGAAATCAATTCGGCTGCTTAAGAAGCCCCAACCTAACACGACGGCGCGGCGCTTAGTCGGTGGGAATTTAGTTGGCTTGGAATTGGTGCGGTCTTGCCAACCATGACTGATATGGGCGGATTTGATGCAAGATGCTGACTAAATGCTGTCCCCAAGAGCGAACATTAAGCCCATCATCCCAGTCTGACCTGAGTTCTCAATCAGCAATATGCGATGTGTTCGAAACTGATCCTAAGATGTATTGTGTGGGCGCTTGACGACTTGATGGGTTGCTGTGGCGTACCATTGCACCTTTTCTGCACATCTTTGCGCCCACGGCGTGCAGACCTTGTTTGTCAAGCCAGCGATGTGGCTGCCCCTCTATTTGTCTGCAGTCGCTACAAGCTTCATTGATGTGTGGTTGACACATGCCTTCAACACGGACTTCACCTGCAGCCCATTGTTTGTAAGGAGTTTTTTTTAGGCCGCATGATTCCTTCAAGGAGCCATCACACGGTCCTGAATGTTTGTGTCCTTAGATAGTGACACCTACGCAGGTCATGACGAGCGAGCGTGCTGCACATTTGACGCCTCTGAATTTATGATTGGATCAACCTCATTAGTTTGCTTCAAGATGGTGTTCCGTTGCATGGAGCAGCCAACAAAAATACGTCATCTTCACACGGTCTCTGCCTCTCGGCAATTTGCGAATGCGCTCGGTTCCAGGGCCCGACCTGGCATCTGCACCTGCCTCGAAAGTTCGCTCGCTGAGCTACTGAGCTACGGAGCTCGTGAGCTATGCTCTGCGAGGTCTCGGAGGAATGTCCGGCCATCCTCAGCAAGCTAATGCAGACTTGCTGGGTGCGCCAGCCCCACCATCAGATCACCACGCTTTGGCATGACAGGCTGGCACGCCTTCCAAGCGGCCACCCTTTTCTGAGCCAGACACCCAGACCAAAACCTTGTTGCAGATGTTTCAAGCCATTTGACGCTGCTCAATGTCACCGTGCGCCTCGCGACTGAGGATTCTTCCACTGCTGGAACAGGCGCATTCGCGCTCTGCTGGTGTGCGCTTCTCACATGTGGCGCAAGGTTCCGCTTCCTGGCCAAAGGGGACCTACATGACTTGCAAAAAGAGAGCCGCGTGAGATTTGCGATTTAGTTTGAGACGTTGCCCGAATCTCCGTTCTCAATGTTCGAAAGGGTTTGGGCCTTTGGTTCTTTTCGTTTTTCGGCCCAAGTGCATCTTGTTGCAAGCTTCAGAAAAGCAACAAACACATAAACTTCTGTTGGGCAGGCACGGAAGAAGTCCAGCCTGGCATGCGTGCGGGGCGCATCCTTTGTAGGATGTAGCGAACAACTCATTGCACTTTGACTTGTCATTTCCGGACTTTCCGGACGCTCATTTTGCCTCGTAGCGCTTGGTTCCGAGCCATGGCAACACCATTTCAGCTCCGAAAGATGTTCGGTCTGACCATGCTCATATTGGCCATGCGCCTCACGGCAGGGAACTCCAACATCAACAGTTGCGAGCCTGATAGTGCCAGTTTGCTGCAGCGAAGCAAGGTAGCTGCATCCCTCGCACCAGTCAAGCCAGCCTATCGCAGTGACCAAACGTGCAGTATTGTGAGGTCTAGGCGATTGAAACTCCACAAGATTTGTCCGAGGCTGACGAGGCTGGGCAAATATCGTGGGCGCAGATCACGCCGATTCGCTCGCTTGTGCGAGTTATGGGCACAATGCGCCACCTCCACAACCACCGCCAGCACCACCCCCAGCACTGGCGCTGCCACCACCGCCATCACCAGCACCAGCACCAGCGCTGCCACCACCAACACCACCACCAGCGCTGCCATCACCACCGCCATCACGACCGCCATCACCACCGCCATCACCACTGCCACCACCACAGCCATCACCACCAGCGCCAGCGCTAGCACCAGCGTCACAACAGCGTTGCCATGCAACTTGGCAACTATACCACAAGTCATTGGAGGTGAGCTGAGTGCTTGTGCGAATCTGACGTCTGGCGACGTCTGCGAAGTGAGTTGCACCGGGGTCTTCACAGGGGATCCCAGCACCTTTACTTGCAATGAAGCCGGTAGGTTCGTAGGGTCGCCTCCGACATGTCAGCGTTCTCAATGTTCACTACCTGCAGCTCTAGCTGACCCTGGCTTGCAACATGACTGCGATGATGTGTTCTTTGGTTCAACTTGTTTAGTCGCCTGTGCTGACGGCTACCATGGGACCCCATCAGTGTGGAACTGCACCGGCGTTTTACGTGGTGCGGTTCCGGACTGCGCAGCAAACAATTGCACCGAGAACTTGCCCGCTGGCTTTGGCATCGATGCGACTGCGTGTGAAAACGTTACAGTTGGTGGCTCCTGCTTCGCAACATGTCTCTCAGGCCTAGAAGCATCAGGATCAACAGAGGCGACCTGCGCAACTACCGGCGCCTTCACCAACATCTCTCTGCAATGCAGCTTACCCAGCTGTGGCAACCTGAGCACTTTGTTTGCTTTCGCGCAGCAGCACGTTACGCATGACTGCGCTGGACGGAAGCAGGGTGACCGATGTGCTGCTGAATGCAGCCCAGGCTATTCCGCTGGTCCAGTAGCCCTAGTTTGCAACGTTGGGCCAACTACGAGTGAGTCAGAAGGTTACGCAGTCGTGGATAGCTCCGGACATTTGATTCCTGCGAACCTTTCCGGAGCGCCAAAGTGTGTGGAAGAGGCAGTCAATTGCACATATTTGCCGAATCTGCTTGGTGCCACGCTCAGATATCATAATATCACCACAGGTTTAGGGCCTAGGGCTTGAACTTCCCGGTTCTTTAAAAAAAACTGTTTTGGTTTGACTCGAGACATGAGAGAAGGGCTGGACTCGAGAAACGCAACTGTCGAGCCGAGGTGCCATTCACAACTGCAGCGGGATAACTGCTGGTGAGACATGTGTTGTTACTGCCGATGAGGGTTTCATTGGAGAGAGCGCAACCTTGACATGTGGGGCCAGCGCCGAGCTCTTGGGCGACATGCCTGAGTTCCAGCCCATTGTTTGCCCGGATCTTGTGGCTCCTGGAGTCGTCACCAACTGTGCTAATGTCACGTTTGGCGCGACGTGCTCTTCAATGTGCACTCTGCCAAGCAACTTCACGGCAGAGAACTCTACAGAAATCACTTCCGGGAATTCTACAGTCGTAGTTTTCCTAGGTGACTTCTTCGTGGTCGAGGAGAGGAAATGTGTGCTGCTGGACGGAGAACCGCTGCTTCAGCTCCAGACAGCGGCTCTTGAGTGCAGCTCCTCCACGGCTTCGCCGACGGCTTCGCCGACGGCTTCGCCGACGGCTTCGGATGCGATGTTGGAAGTTCAGGTGTCGAACGTGGCGGGGTATTGCTACCCTCCGGACCAGGATCCGGCCATCAAGGAGTTTCTCGGGGAGCGAAACTGGGACCTAACAACTTGCCCAGGAGATCCAGCCTTTCAAGGCCTATATCCATGGGATAGATTTCTGAATGGTGGTATTGAGTGCGCCTTTCCTTGCAAGCCCGGTTATACGTCCAGTGTTTCTCCGCCTCGTCTAAAGTGCGGGACCAGGTTGAGCAAGAATCCTAATCTTTGGATTGAGGCGTATTGGCAGGTGATCTGGGACAAGGTAGGCGAGTGCGTTCCAAACGTTTGTACCTATGGGCAGCCATCAGGCTTGGGCATTACGCAGTATTTACCGTCTCCATGTGACCGCGCTATGAGAACTGGTGAGACGTGCGAAGTCGTGTGCAGAGATGATTTTACATACTTGTCCGGTTTCAGCCTTCATTACTGTGACGCCAGTGGAATGATCAAGCCTGCCTTTCAGGCCAGCTTGCAGTGCTTTCCGAAACCCTGCAACATTGTGACCAGCCCCCCTTTGGATGCTGACTTGTATTATTTGCAAAGCAACTGCGTGAATCCGATACCCGGCTGGAACTCCTGTGGGATCTACTGCCTTGGAGCTGGAGGTGTTGGTGCCATGAAGTGCGAGAGACCGCTCTATCCAAGCGACACCGCTTCAGGCCTCAGCGTGGTTTGGCCAGCTCCGCCGTGCCAGCCGCCAACTTGTGCTCCTCCTCCTTTCGCTGGGAAACTTGAGAGTTCCATATTCCGGCCCCTTTGCGGGGCATTTGACCCTAGCAACATGAACGTTGGAGAAAGCTGCGCCATTGGTTGTTCGTCCTGGTACACAGGAGCGGATTCTGTTCTGTCTTGCGGCCGCAACCTTTACGTCACTGGAGCTTTGCCAAACTGTCAGATCCTACGCTGCAGCCTGCCAGTTTCTTTGAATGATGCCAGCGTGACACATGATTGTTTAGGAGTGCCGCTTTGGGGAGATTGCAGTGCGAGCTGCACGGCAAACTACGTGAGGAGCACAACAAGATGGTATTGCCGTTCGCAAGGAACTGGCGCTGGTGGCAAAGAGATTCCGATTCTGTTGGGTTCCATGCCAACTTGCGAACCTCTGGCCTGCGTCTATGGATTGCCCGCCCTTCCGAACAACTGTGCCAACGTTCGCTTTGGCAGTTCCTGTACAGTTTCATGTCAGGCTGGCTACATCGGACAAGCAACACAGTGGAGCTGTGGCAGTCAACAAATCTTCCGAGGTTCGATGCCCAGCTGCGTTCAAGGTTCAACAAACCTCTACGGGGTGATGCAGCCGCAGTCCTCCCTTGTCATGCCGTTGCTAGCCACAATGACTTTTACGGGCGCTTTCACCTACGAAGCTTGGGTTAGAAGCCCTTTGACTGCAACCGCGACTCGCTTGGAAATCTTCGGCGGTCTGTCTCAGGGCTTCTATCTCATCAATGAAGGATTTTCTACCTGCTCGGGTGGACATGGCCTTGGAGATGGTGTGCCTACTTCATGGAGCCTGCATGTTGGCTTCTCTAATGTCTTCAGCGATGTTTGCCTTCGCCGTGACACCTGGTACCATCTGGCTGCAACTAGAGATGCCAGCAACACATTGACGTTGTTTGTCAGTGGCCAGGGAACAAGTGGCGCAACAGGCGCTCAACTCCTTCTCTCAACCTCCTTTGGTGGAGGCTTCGTCGGAGGTGAAATGTTCAACGCTCGCATTTGGCACGTGGCACGCTCTGCAGCGCAGATCTCCCAGAACGCGTTGGTCACATCCGAGCTCTCGCTCGACACTACCTCAGGATTGCTGGCATGGTGGCCACTGACGCTGGACTTGCTTGGGCTGAGCTCAACACCTGCTGCTCTCGAACCAACGGGTGCTGCCCCAACCTTTGCCACTGCAACCGAGGCAGAGCTGACCGAGAGCTGGCTGATCTACGAGGAGAGTTACGGGGTGATGCAGCTGCAGTCCTCCCTTGTCATGCCGTTGCTGGCCACAATGACTTTTACGGGCGCTTTCACCTACGAAGCTTGGGTTAGAAGCCCTTTGACTGCAACCGCGACTCGCTTGGAAATCTTCGGCGGTCTGTCTCAGGGCTTCTATCTCATCAATGAAGGATTTTCTACCTGCTCGGGTGGACATGGCCTTGGAGATGGTGTGCCTACTTCATGGAGCCTGCATGTTGGCTTCTCTAATGTCTTCAGCGATGTTTGCCTTCGCCGTGACACCTGGTACCATCTGGCTGCAACTAGAGATGCCAGCAACACATTGACGTTGTTTGTCAGTGGCCAGGGAACAAGTGGCGCAACAGGCGCTCAACTCCTTCTCTCAACCTCCTTTGGTGGAGGCTTCGTCGGAGGTGAAATGTTCAACGCTCGCATTTGGCACGTGGCACGCTCTGCAGCGCAGATCTCCCAGAACGCGTTGGTCACATCCGAGCTCTCGCTCGACACTACCTCAGGATTGCTGGCATGGTGGCCACTGACGCTGGACTTGCTTGGGCTGAGCTCAACACCTGCTGCTCTCGAACCAACGGGTGCTGCCCCAACCTTTGCCACTGCAACCGAGGCAGAGCTGACCGAGAGTTTTATATGATTTTCAATGTCCGTGCTTCTGCTTGGTGCGGTGTGCGTGGTGCTTTTCAATGAGGACAGAGAATGACTTTGGGCTGTGCCTGAGACAAAATCTGATTTGCCGGAGCCAACAGGTGAGGCGAATCTTCTCTGACCCCCTCTAGTGCGGGCATTGAATGGCCAGTCAGTAGTCAGCTCACAGCCGGGGCGCGTGAAGCACATGCCAGTTGGGTTTAGAGGCATCGGCCTGGATCACAAGTTGCAGCTTTGGGCTCACGTGGCATCCAGATGTATCAAGTTGCACGCCCGAGCAGACCTGGCAACTGTTCGCAAACTGTGAGCCCAATTCGAGAAGTCAGGGAGCGTGACATGAGCGTGACATGATTCCTGCGAGCGATGGGCTTTCAGAGACGTCGAGAGCCATTTTCCGAAGGAGCCAGAAAAGGCAGGGCCTTGCGTCCCACTCTCGTTCGTCAGGAGCCCGCTTCATCTGTCTCACGGGTGGTCTGATCTGCCCAAGGAGGCTGCCACGTCAGAAGCCGAGGATTTGAATTTGGTGGATCTGTGCATCATGATTGACCTTCAGGTCAAGTGAGCACCGAGCGGACATCAATCGAGCAGTGCTTTTGATCAAGGCTGGCCTTCAAGTTTCAAGCGTGCTTTCCTGTGCATCGGTACAAACCTGACAGGGGCATGTCCCAAGCAGCCGCCCAGATGCAAAAGATGTCGGTGTTTCTTGCTGACACAGTCTCGGCAGAGAGGAAGCAGCGCGGATTTGCATGCTGCGAGGGAGTGGCAGGAGCCGGAGAGAGAGCGCGTTGCGCGTGAGTGGGCGTACTGCAAGGACCTCCGCTTCCCCACGAGCAACTTCACGCACAGTTGGCAGCCTAGAGCGGGAAGGCGGAAAGACGGAAATTAATTCTGAAAGCATCCTTTCCTCGGATTGCCCAAGGGGCCAACCCTGGCCATTTTGTCGAGGGTTTTGGGGTCCCAGCTCCGGCCTTGCGAGGTGCAGAGCCCCGCGCAGGGGCCCTGAGACACAGGCCGTCAAACTGCACGACTCTTCCGAAGCGGGCGTCTTTCGCTGTTTCTGAAGCATTCTCAGAATTTTGGAAAGGTTCTCTTTGACCTTCCCAGAGTGCTCAGGTTCGCAAGAAGTGGGGATTCGAGCCTGCGCCTCAACTGCGCCGAGTCGGCACGATTCGGCACGAGTCGGCCAGCTTCAGGCAGGTGCCTTCCCTGTTGCCGGACCCGCTGGAGCGGGACACAGGTGGGCCCGCTCGGCGAGCGCGGCCAAGCGAGCGGCCGCGTGCCGGCGTGCCGTTCCGTACCGTTCCGTGCCGTCCGGAGCCGAGAGGTATGCTCGGGCGATCCTGTGCCGGACAGCCGCCTTCACTGCCCAGATCCTCAGTTTGGGCATCCGTGTGCCGGGCGTGTGCCGGGTGCCGTGGGCCGTGTCCAGGCCTCCCAGCAAGCTGAACTTTGCCACAAGCTTCTGCTGGCCAGGAGGCCAGGAGGCCTTGCGCGCCACTTCTCTGAAGCTGCAACACGCAGCCTGTTCCCATGCAAGCTGTTTTGGGCTCGACCGTTTCAGCGTTTAGGCTATTGCAATTGTCGCCATGCTTCCATCTCATTATTTGTTTGTTGTTGTTTTGTTTTGTGTGTTCTGCTTTTCGCCATGATCTCCGTGATCATGCCGTGCCGCAACGGCATGCCGTTCCTGCCGTGGGCCCTGGACGACTTGGCTTCCAGCAGCGTCGCCCTGGAGGTCCTCGTCTGTGACGACGGCAGCTCTGACGGCTCCGCAGAGTGGCTGCAGAGGCTGCACACGGCACTGGAGGCGCCCGACGTGCCCGACGCGCCCGACGCGCCCAGCGCGCCTGACGCACCCGGCGCGCCCGACGCGCCTGACGGGGAGAGCTGGGACCCGGCGTGCGGCCTGAGCTCGGACACGCCATGGGTGCAGCAGGACGGAAGTCGAAGAAGTCGAAGTAGTCGAAGGAAGTCGAAGGAAGTCGAAGATGTGTCGGACTTGGTCAGAATGAACACAGCGAGTTCAGGAGCCATGGCCCGGAGAAGATGCAGCTCCCAGCCCCGCAGTGGTGTCGAGGAAGATGTGCGCTGCCGGCCATCGCTTGGTGCTTCTGAGCCTTGTCACAAAGAGCTGTGCTTCGCACTCGGGCAATATTGCGTTCGCTTCAGGAACAGCGGAGGCAGAGGCCAAGGTGCAGCTCAGAATGCGGCTCGTACTGAACGCGACGTCGATATTTATGTGCAAGATTGGAAGGGATTGGAAGAGATTGGAAGGAAGGCGTTAACTGAGGCTTGCCTTCAGGCCGCCTCTGCTCCGCTTGTCGGTCCTCCTGGCAGGTGGCTGTGTGTGTTGCTGAGGGGATGGGGCAGAAGCCAAGGTCTCATGGACGCAGACGACCGGGGAGATCCCGAACGCTTCCAGAAGCTGTTGGATGCACTCAAAGACCACCGTGACTGGATAGGCGCTTGCAGCCAAGTGCGCATCTTCGGGACAGTTTCGGAGGCCTGTGCCGCTTTGGTCTAGCCGTTCGCCGTTCGCCTTTCGCCTTTCGCCTTTCGCCTTTCGCCTCCTTTCGCCTTTTGCTTGCGCTGCAGGGCATGGCGAGATATGTGCAGTGGCAGAACAGCCTTCTGCAGCCCGAGGACACTTCCAGATTTGTTTTCTTTTTGTCCGTTTTTTGTTTTGAGGAGCTGATGCAGAGCCGTTTCGTGGAGATCCCGGCCCTGCACCAGTCTGGATTGTATCCTAGGCGGGATTCTGGGCTCTATTGGCTTGTTTTTTGTCCCATCGAATGTCCCGAACTCAAGGCTCGGAAGGTTTCGAATGCATGAGCTCTTGGACTACTGGGCTCTTCGGCGAAACAGACGTTGCCGGATCGCCGGGGTGAGGTCTTTGCTGCTGGAGACGCTGCAGGGCTACCGCGATCTGCCCGGCTGGCCCATCGACATCGACACCTGGATGCCACGGCCCTAAGTGGCCGTCCGTCGCAGCCGTCACGCGTCGTCGCGTCGTCGCGCGTTGTTGTGCGTCTGCTTTTCGTTTCCCGGCCGAATTGTTGCATATGCTACCTTATGTTAACTCATGTCGGAAGGGGACGGCCCGTCACATCTCTCAGGCGGCTAGCGGAGGCAGGAGCTCGCATCGGCAAGGCCAGCGCGGACTGGAGTTAAGGCGGACCAGAGCGGACTTGCGGAGATGTGTGAGGTCCCGATGCAGCTCTACGGCTGGCGCCAGCACACACTCCAAAGCACCAGGACTCAGCCAATTGTTGTTCTGAAATGGGTTTTGCCTTGTTGACCGGCTTCACTGTCAAGCACCTGCTTCCATCTTTTGTTTTTCTTCGCCTTGTGCACCTGGTTTATGCTCTTGGTGGTCGCACACGATCCAGGAACCATGGCCGGTGCGGAATTGACCGGCTGCGCAATTGCAAAGCGCACTTCCTGCTCCGCAGCTTGCCGAAGGCCGAATGCTTCCCATTGCTTCCCCTTTTCTCCATTTCCTGCCTCTCGAGTTGTGAAGCCCCAGCCTTCCCCGTGTCTGAATCTTACTCTGACTCTTACTCTATGTCTCGCTCTCTCTCTGTTTGTTTGCGTTTTTGATTGTAGAGGCTGTTTTTTCGAGTGCGCTCGCCAGATTCGTCGCCTAGAGATTTGGAGCACGGGCGAGACCCTCGCGCGCCGGGCTGTAGTTCGGCGGGAGACTGTGCCTTGCTCGGAGCAAACCGAGATCGAGGCTGGAGGGAGGCTTTGCAGTCCCAGATGCCAAAGGACCGAAGCACTTTAACAGACGGAGTGGGTTTCTTGATTTTTGTTGGCTGCACACACTCTGCAGCCCACATGTCGCCGTGCAGAGTGCTCAGGAGGCACGCATGGAGCTGGCTTTGCTTGACTGGCGGCCAAAGGGCCGGAGCCGTGGAGGAGCTCGCAGAAAGGAGAGCGCGGTCGCGGCTAGCAGAGTCGCCTGTGTTACGCCTACACATTGTCTTCTTGTCTTCCTTGTTACAGGTCTTCCTTCTTTTTTCTGTCGCGTGCTTTGCACATTGAGAAGATACGATCCCACGGCTCGCTCTTAGGAGGGCGAGGGCGGCGGCGGCGGCGGCGGCGGCGGCGCGGCTGCTTATGCTACCGTGAAGACAGAGGTGGAGTTGGCTGCTGAGATGGATGGAGACGGCGAGGCAACCAGCCAAGGGCAGGCGCTCCGACCCAATTTCATGAGTTTATGTTTGTGGCTGATTTGTTGAACAGTCAAGTTCTGCAACCTGTGCTTTGACTGGATATGTGTGCACTGGCTGAGGGATTTGGCACGAAGCTCTGCTTTTGCTTTGCAAAGGCGGTCATCCATGAAGCTATACCCTGCTCTTCACCTCCACCTCCACTGGACAGGTGCTGCCTGCACAGTGGGTTTTCGGAATCTCGCATCATCCTTTCAGGTCCCATGAGTCTGTTGCCCGGGCCAGCAGCCAAGGACTTGATTGCGGAATCGCTGTATTTGCCGTACTACCGTAGAAGGGGTTTATTTGAGGTCTTCGTCTTTGGAAGTGAGAAGCTGCGGGCGAAGGCCTGTGAGCCATTTCACCTGCGTCTATTTCCCGAGCTCCAGGCCAAAATGTCCAGCGAAGCGTCTAGCGAAGCGCCCGGCAAAGCGCCCGGCGAAGCGTCCAGTTTGCGCAGCTTGGGCGAAGGCACTCACGTCATGCGCCGCTGAGGTCGATGGGGCCGACTGGATTGGCCCGCGGCATGAACAAAGGAAAAAAACACGCATTGCCGATGCATTGCCGATGCATTGCCGATGCATTGCCGATATTTTTTTGAATTGCCGTTGCCTATCTTGACCCAGAGGCTTCTAGCCCTGCCAGGTGACTCTCGACACAGTCGAGGGCATCCCAGGTTCAGCTGCACTCTCAGGGTGCGCATCAACATGTTTCGGAACCCTTCACACATCCTCCTTGAGCCGAGGCGAATGGAGTGACACGAAGCCAGCAGGGGGCAAAGTGAGGCATAAAGCACCTTTGTTGTCGCAGCGTTCTGCGTTCATTTGGCTTGTTTCGCGTTCGGCGCAGGGGCAGCGACGGCCGCTTCTTGGGCTTTTGATCTCTGGCGTGCAATTGAAACTGCCATTCCCAAAGGGATGGGCAAGTAGGGTTTCACTGGCACCAATTGTTCTGAAAAAGTGTAACATGTGATTTGCATGAGCCCAACACAGCCATGGGCCCATGTGGGTGTTTTGAGAGCCAGGCTCAAGAGACTTGGAATATTGGCAAGTGCCCATCACATGTGCCACTTCAAAGCCTTTAGACATCCCAGTAAGCCTTTTCAAGCCTTTCGCCTGGCTTCCAGTTTGCAAGATTTTGCAAGCCTTTGCCATGCGGCACAAGAGAGTGAGATATGTGCAGCCCTCAGGTGGGAAGGGCATCCGATTTCGATACGTGCATTTCAGGGCGCTGTCTGCGTCGTGTTGCTCTGGGCCCGCGCCTTGGAGAAATGGGACTTGGGCGATGCGCACGCGCGCAGGCTGGCCAGGCCTTCCTCCGGCCGAATTGCGAGGCGAGCATGTCCAGTCCATCCAGTCCTACTCATGTTCATCCATCCCGTCGGTGTGGTAGGCCAAAGTGGACAGAAGAGCCGTCGGAGCCAGCGGCGCTCTGCTGACGCTCACTGCTGCTCCGCGGCCATCAGATGCCTTCGAGGCGCTCGAGTTAGCGCGCCTCGCAAAAGCCCATTGGATCTTTTGGCGCATCTTTTGGCATTGCACAGATGCCGAACCTTGGGCAATTCTTCAGCACCGTCTTCAGAGTAGTCACCACAGGCACTAACGAGGCGCTCCGGCTGCGCGCTTTGTTTTGCCCAAATCGCACCGGCCAAGGCGTTCGACCCAACCACGGAGGACGGAGCCAAGGCGAGTGACCGGAACCTTCCCACTTCGACCTTCGGTCCACTTGTGCTTTCAGGCCTTGGGTCTGGCAAGCCCTCTTCCCAAAGAAGGCTTCGGAGAGATCACCTTGGACGCGCAGAGCTCGGAGACATGAGACATCATGAGACATTTGAGTCCTTCGGCTGTCGGCTTGGACTCAGGACATCCTGCCCTTTGCCCTTTTCCTCCTGGTGGCACAGGGCTGAGACGCCGAGTCACTGGATCATTGGGTTCTGGAAGCTGCGTGATGGCGATGTGTCCGTGTTTGGGCATGCTTTTGTGCATGAGACATGAGCGCAACGAACGCATGAAGTCTATACGGCGCGCGCAAGCGAGCACATCATCGCTTGCAGTTGGTGGCCTGGGGCCTGCTGGTGGTGCCCAGCAGCATGGACCGCAGCGACGGGGCCAAGTCCGTGCTCTTCCCCTCGCAGGTCCCGAAGCTGCAGGCAAGCAGACTAAAACGACTGAAACGGCTCAAACGGCTCAAACGGCTCAAACGGCACAAAGCCAAAGGCAATCTTGATCCCCAATGTGTCCAGCTTCACACGTGCCCCAGCTGGCAGAATGGCAGGGAACTAGAGGTTTCTTGCTCTGGAGGATTTGAATGTACCCTGAACTCCCTGAGCTGCCTCCGGACAGGACGTCAAATGTTGTTCAGCCTCTGGAAATCGTTTCGTTCGCCTTTGTGCAAAGTCCTACGCTGACCGGCTGACCACTTGACCTGTTCTGGAGCTGCCAAAGGTCCTGAAGGGTGGTTGAATCATGTTGTAAACGGCATTTGCAACAGGAAGGGCACCCCAACTGGATCAGGCACGAACAGCTTAATTGATGTGCTGATTTTTGAACCGCGTTGTTTGTGAACCTTTGAGGCTTGAGCTGAGCTAGCAGCTACACCTTCAAATAGTGCTTAAAAGACTTCAAGTGGTGTGCATTTCTAGCAAACTGCAACATGCCCCTGCTCGAGGGACGATACCCTAAATGCCACTGGGGACACAAACTGCGTACACTAGTGGCAATCTGTTTCGAAATGATAGTCAGTAGGAAAACTCGCATGCAGCTCTCATTCCAACTCAGAATCATGATATCGCACTGGCTTTGTCCCCAGTGTCCAGCCCATTTCAAGATGTCTGGGTCGGACATTTCCAAGTTTCATCCGGTGCTCACAGGCCATGGCTCGGCTCAGAAAACACTCGCCATGGATTGAGCACCGCCATGAGCGGTGATGTCGAGCTGGTGAGTCGGGTCGGCAAGCCATGATCTTCTATGACAACAAGAGCTTCCGTGCTCTCTGCACGCTGCGGGGCTCCGTGTTCCCAAAGGCGGGGGGCGGAGCGGAGCGGCGGAGCGGCGGAAAGATTCGGAAAGCCAGCGAGGCCAGCCTCTACGCGCTGCCATTCGCGCTCCTTGCTGCCAGAAGCTCAAGAATGAAGCAAGGAAGGCACAAAAGGGTTCGCGCATCAGGTGGTCCTAAAATGGCTATCCAGCGACGGGCACATTAGCCGATGCCTCAGTGCTCAGTATGTTCAGTGCGATGCTCTCGACGTGCGAGTACGAGTTGTATCCTGAGACCTTGCTGACTTGGATCTCATTTCGGACGGCTCCGTCTACAGTGCCTTCACCTTTGTGCTGAGCTTCACCCTAGTTTTCCGCTGCCAACAGGCGTACCAGAGGTACTTCGCATCTGCAAAGGCTATGCACATGATGAGCTCAGACTCTGTGACAGCAATTTTGAAGGCGAGCTTGGAATGAGAAAGACGAAGCGTAAGGAGTGGATCGATGCCTGCGGCAGCTTGATGTCCTTTGTCAAGATGGCACGGAAAAGCGAAGGCCGGGGCCTTGAGCACAGCCTCGAACCGGACTCCGGACCTGAGGAGAGAAGATGCAATGTGAGGCGGTTCTAGTTAGACTGTCCGGTTCTTAGCGTCGAAACTGCGAATCTTTTTGTTTTTAAAATTTTTGCGTTTGAAGTTGCCTTTGGGATCGTAGGTTCTGCTTGCTGCACGCTCTCGCGATGGAAGAGCTGTGCAACCTTGCCGTCGGGATCTCAGGAGATGCCCTCAGAGCCCCCGGCTCAATGCCCAAGCCTAGGAAGAGAACTTTGGGCTTTTGGACATCGAGGCATGGAGCGGCATGGACATATTAAATATTCGAAATGTTTGAAGAGTCACAAATGGACGGTAGCGAATTGTTCACCATCTCAATCAGGCCTTCCCGAAGCTGGACCTGGCGGTGCTGCATGATTCGCGCATGCCCACATCGCATAAGACGCATGTTGCCCGAGCCCCAACAGGCCCCACAGGCCCCAACAGGCCCCACAGGCCCCACAGGCGCCACAGGCGCCACAGGGCCAACGCCTCAGGGCCCACACTCGCGTCAGAACCGTCGAGGCATCCGATCGGCTCCGATCGGTGCCATCGGTTCCGATCCGTTCCCCAGGTCCTGATTTGGATCAAATTCTTCATTGTCCAATGCGAGTACACGGGATGCTTTGGTCATGTCTCGGCTTTCATGGTAGTCACATGCAAACTGGGAGAGCGGGAAGGAGCTGACAGTACAGCGCCGCAATTGCCCAAGGACTGCTGCCAGTACCTGCGCCCATTCTCACGCGAGTCTACCAAGAGATTGGTGCTGGCATGGCTGAATTTCATGATGCGCAATGCATCAGCATGTGGCCTTTCCCGTTTCCGTATGAGCTTTAGATTTCTGTTGGCAACGGTTTGGTTTGGGTATTTCGGTAGCTCGGTATTTCAAAGCAGGGCATGGACATAAGAAGTCCCGGAAGTCCCTCCCGAAGTCCCGTCCTTGAGGCGCAGCTCAGCATGTTCCTCAAGGTGCTTCACATGCTGATCACTCCTTTTGTCATGGTCCAGTACTGCGACAAGATTTGGTCTGCTGGCGGATTTACTTTCGTCTCTCTGGTTTGCATGTCAGCATTGAACATCATTGGTGTGGAGCTAGAGAATCCCTTTGGCGACGACCCCAACGACTTGCCTGCCAATGAAACGCACAACGATTTCCGGGAGAGCTTGCTGACATTGACGGATCCAGCAGTTTGGCGCGTGCCTGGCCTGCTGCCCACCGCAAAGTTAGACTTCAGGCAGCTACAAGCGGCGAACAGCACGAGCCTTTCGAGATATTTGAATGGTCTTGACGTGTTGAAGGAGGCGAATGCAAAGGAGGCAAAGGAGCTTGAGGAGATCGGGGAGATTGATAAGATGCGAGACAAGACGCAAGAGACGCGAGGTCCAGGTCCAGGTGGTCCAGGCGGTCCAGGTTCAGGTCCAGAAGATCCCTGGGTATTGGAGGAATGGCTGCGACGTCAAACAGCGTTGCTGGAGAATTTCCTCGCAAAGCAGAACGACATGCTGGAGCAGCATGCCCTTGCCATGAGGTGTGCGAGCTTGCCAAAGGCGGGGAAGGCCAAATCAGACTCTGCGGAGAGGTACAGACGAGACATTGCGGGGGCAAGATGCCCTCCGGACATGCCATCAAAGTCTTTGAATGGTGAAAGGGGGGGTTGCTGTTGGGGATATCATTTGTGGAGTTTCGCTTCTTTGAGATGGTCGGAGGAGGTCGGAGACTTTCGCGGAGAGCCTTTGTGTTTCGGCGCCAGGAGCAAGCCGCGGCTTCGGTCTTTGCCGCGCCCAAGGAGCAAAGTCTCTGCGGCTGCAGCGTGCAGCCGAGGCGGAGGTGGGAGCCAAAATGAAGTCACCCCAAGGCCCAAGCCTCAAGCCAAAAGCCAATCCGAATTTGTTTGACTTCGGCAGGTGACTCCATGTGAATCGAGCCCGCTGGAGACTGGCTATGTGGTGGATCCCTGCACCTCTCCCAGGACTTGTGACCGCTCTACTCAAAAGATGTATGACCTTCATGAGACATTGCCGCTGCAAGACTTCAATCCGAGGCGACATGTCTCCGTCACATTACTTGGACAGTTAGTGTCGGCCCCAACAGCAGTTTTCGGACTCTCAAGAAGCCTGATAGGTGCCATTGCCAAAGCTTGCAAAGACAGTTGTTGTGCCACTGGTCTTGCAGCGATGCATGGAGGGCGGAGGTCAGCTCCAGACAGTCGGCAGAGAGCCGGATGTCCGGGAAGAACTTTCTCGTTGCTTGAGCGCTTGACAGAGCAGCCATGTTTCACGCGCCCCAGCGGCAGCTCCGGACAAAAACCAACCATGGTGAGCAGATTGCCCTGCCATGTATAGAGAATGCTTGGAAGGTCTATGTTCCAGATGAGATCAAGGCGTTGCCGGCAGAGGCGCTTTCAGGTTGGCGAATCGAGACCGGACGGGCGGACGGGAGGCGCCCATCCTGAAAAGCAGAAGACTGCGGGACCGGATGCAACGGCTCGCGGCCTCTCGCGGCCTCTCGCGACGTGCGGTCTCTCGCGACGCGGCATCGCATCGCTCGCTCGCAGGACCCGGATGGAGAGCTGCTGCTTCCCCTGAAGCAGGCGAGGCCCAAGAAGGCGCGGAGGAGTTCCGGGTCCAGGCCCAAGACGCAGGCCAAGGCGCCATGGCCGTGCCATCGACCCGAGGTTCAAGAGTCCAAAGAAGTGAGAACTCGCGGGGTAGGGCCAAGATGTGCATTTCGCTAGCGTGACCGCCTGGAGACGGAATGATAATTGAGCTGTGAAAGAGATGGTGGGAAAGACCAGAAAGGGCTTTGATACTTGTCGCGCTTCTGCTTGCCGGTGAGTTGACAGGTGTGTGTGTGTGTCATCAATGATAGCATGTGCGTCATCAATGAGCCTGCTTTGTTTGGATCAAATGCGATACTCGATGGCCCCAGCACCAGTTTGGCTTCTTGACATGCAGGCATAGAATGTGATGCGCTCTGAGAATTTGACAAGCCGCTCGCATCTTCTCGTTGGGCCAATGACCTTCCAAACCACATGGCAAAAGTCAAGCATCTTCCATTCTGTCGTGACGTTCTGTCGGGGCTGGGGTCAAGTGCGAGGGACCGGTGTGCCGAGTTTGACATGGCCGGGGCTTCAGGCTCCAGAACTCGGGCAGAGCTCACCTCCGAGAGCCGTGAGCAAGGAATATCTTGCCGCTTCTCTGTTTCATGCCCGAGTGGAACAGCCCAAGCTGAGGAGGGCTCAAATTCATTCATTCATGGGCTGCCAACACGTCCTTCCAGATCACGGATCAGGCACAGTTGGCAGGGGGGTGGAGACTTTGTCGGTTGGATGATATCGATTGTGTGTGTTGCATTGGCCTGCCGCTGCCACGTGTTTGTCGTGCGGGCAGCCAGCGTTTGGTGTGCTTGTTCCAGCGCCGTTTTGCTTCGAAGCCGCGATTCCTCGGCACGGTCGACTGGCAAGTGCTGCGGCCTCATATTGGAGTTGCGTTGGGCACGACCGATGACAACGATGTGATGAGTGATGAGGAGATGGCACGTCAAGCACCCGGCGGAGCGTGCCGCTGGCTGTTGCACAGAGAGATGTGCATAGTCTTCATCGCACTGCATAGCCATAGGTGCCATGGCTTGCTCAACGGCTTCGCCAGGTCAAGCATTTGCTTGGGATTGGCCGAGAGCGAGCTCAAGGCGTTGCATGTGTTGCATGTGTTGCATGTGTTGCATGTGTTGCATGTGTTGCATGTGCGGCACACGCCTGCAAGCATTGAAGCATTAAAGCATCGAAGCATTGAAGCATTGAATCATCCGTGGAGTGGCAGCGAGGCAGTTTCTTCGAACGCCTTCGCCTCGAACGCCAGCCAAAACAGCGGCAACGTCCTGACAGACCGCCCCAGCACCATGCTACATGCTCCTCCAGGCCATTCGCAGAATCCACAAAGATGGCGGGAATTGGCCTGAAGATGCTGTGTCTCACTACTGAGAGCTGTGAGGCGGGTATTCCACCATTTGCCTGGGTGGAGATGAAGCTCCGGTCATCCGCCAATCCAACTGGACACCGCCAGGAGACTCGGTTTTTTCCAAGTGCCTTGTGCATTTTTTCGGGCCAGGAGGGAAGTCGACGATCTGCTTGGGGACGGATGAAGCTCCGGTGTCGTCCAATGCCTTCGCCTGCGGTGCCAGTCAGAACTCGGGCAACGTGCTGACAGACCGCCCGACGACATCGCTGCACGCTCCCCCGGGAGGTCATTCAACCATTTGCCTGGCAGCGGGCGCATGCACCGCAGACCGCCTGCCTCGACAAGGAGGTGTCACCGCGGGCGGACAGAGCACAGTATGCTTGGGTACCGATGCCAGTCTGCCACTTACGGCGGGGCTTGGCATCAGCACAGGTAGCCATCGGTTTTGCGCGGTCTCTGAACGCATGAGGTGATTGGATGGTCTCCTCAAGGGCAGTTGGCAGCGCAAGGAAGGCGATGCCACATGAGACCGTTGCGACCGAGGACTCGCTGTGATTGCTGTGACACTGTGTCGTCGCCGTGCCGCAGCCGTGAAACGGGCGTGTTGTGGGCGTGTTGCGGGTGTTTTGCAGAAGCATGGCAAAGGCTAACGCAGACAGAACACGTGCAACCCAGGAGGAGGAGATTGCACAGGAGGAGCTTTCCGAGAAGGATTCCCCAGAGGTGCGGGCCAAAATGGGTTTGAAAGATGCTTTTGGGATGTCTTGGGAGCTTTTTGTTGGTTCACAGGATGTAATGTGGGTTTAATAAGCCATGAACGGAGTGACGAAGTGACACGTCGACGTAAACGTACAGTACGAGGAGGTATGAGTGCGCACTAATATGCTCACACGCAGCGCCCGAAGTCCCAGCTCTGGTTTTGGTTTAGTAGTGATCATATTGAGGCCTATTGTGACACTTTATGACAATGTCGGTAGAGCCAACAGTTAACGAGTCAATAGGTTTTCGGCGCTTGCCAGATTTTGTCGGGTGTCGGCAATAGCTGTTTGAGATGGCTGGAGCGGTTTTGAGACGTGACAGATTGCTTGCGTTCCTCGACAGGGAGGCGTCACCGCGGGCGGAAACAGCACAGTATGCTTGGGTACCGATGCCAGTCTGCCGCTTAGGGCGGGGCTTGGCATCAGCACAGGTAGCCACCGGTTTTGCGCGGTCTCTGAGCGCATGAGGTGATTGGATGGTCTCCTCAAGGGCAGTTGGCAGCGCAAGGAAGGCGATGCCACATGAGACCGTTGCGACCGAGGACTCGCTGTGATTGCTGTGACACTGTGTCGTCGCCGTGCCGCAGCCGTGAAACGGGCGTGTTGTGGGCGTGTTGCGGGTGTTTTGCAGAAGCATGGCAAAGGCTAACGCAGACAGAACACGTGCAACCCAGGAGGAGGAGATTGCACAGGAGGAGCTTTCCGAGAAGGATTCCCCAGAGGTGGGCGTACAATGTCGAAGTTTCTGGGGCCATACCGATGCTGTGAGAAACCATTTGATGCCAGGCGGTGCAGAACGTTGAGACCTGCAAGGTGGGCTCGGCATGTCCCGGAGCCACGTTCGGCCCGTCCGGCCCGTCTGCCAGGTGAAGGGAAGCGACCGAAGTCGTGTCCAGGCGCGGGATTGGATCGCTGGGATCGCTGGGATCGCTTGGATCGCTTGGATCGCTTGGATCGCTTGGATCGCTTGGATCGCTTGGATCGCTTGAGCGTTGCGCGGGGCAAATCGCAGGAGTTGCCAACGCCGATTCGCGCACGGGCGCCTCCTGGCGGGGCCGGGCCGCCGAGAGTCCCGGTTCCAGCTGTGAGTGTGGAGACAGACCGAGGTGGCGACCGTGCTGTTGGGCTGACGGTAGCCAGGTAGCCCTCTTTAATTCACGGCTCTTGGAGCCTAATTTGACGCGTGCATGCGAGACGCAGATTGGTGGCGCCGATGATCATTTGGCCTCCCTTATCCGCCGAACGGCTTCAGCCGGCGCAGGGCATGGAAAGCAGTTGCATTTGGCCCGGATGGCAGTCACACGAATCGAGCTTTGGCAATTTGCACTCTTGCCTTGTGTACTTATGTCTCTGAGCATGGAGGCCTGATTCTGTGCTGCGCGGGAGAGAGCGGATGTTCTTCCAGATCACGGATCAGGCACAGTTGGCAGGGGGGTGGAGACTTTGTGGGTCGGATGATGTCGATTGTGTGTGTTGCATTGGCCTGCCGCTGCCACGTGTTTGTCGTGCGGGCAGCCAGTGTTTGGATCTAGGGCTTCATGTCCATGACTCAATGTGCTTGTTCCAGCGCCGTTTTGCTTCGAAGCCGCGATTCCTCGGCACGGTCGACTGGCAAGTGCTGCGGCCTCATATTGGAGTTGCGTTGGGCACGACCGATGACAACGATGTGATGAGTGATGAGGAGATGGCACGTCAAGCACCCGGCGGAGCGTGCCGCTGGCTGTTGCACAGAGAGATGTGCATAGTCTTCATCGCACTGCATAGCCATAGGTGCCATGGCTTGCTCAACGGCTTCGCCAGGTCAAGCATTTGCTTGGGATTGGCCGAGAGCGAGCTCAAGGCGTTGCATGTGTTGCATGTGTTGCATGTGTTGCATGTGTTGCATGTGTTGCATGTGTTGCATGTGCGGCACACGCCTGCAAGCATTGAAGCATTAAAGCATCGAAGCATTGAAGCATTGAATCATCCGTGGAGTGGCAGCGAGGCAGTTTCTTCGAACGCCTTCGCCTCGAACGCCAGCCAAAACAGCGGCAACGTCCTGACAGACCGCCCCAGCACCATGCTACATGCTCCTCCAGGCCATTCGCAGAATCCACAAAGATGGCGGGAATTGGCCTGAAGATGCTGTGTCTCACTACTGAGAGCTGTGAGGCGGGTATTCCACCATTTGCCTGGGTGGAGATGAAGCTCCGGTCATCCGCCAATCCAACTGGACACCGCCAGGAGACTCGTTTTTTTCCAAGTGCCTTGTGCATTTTTTCGGGCCAGGAGGGAAGTCGACGATCTGCTTGGGGACGGATGAAGCTCCGGTGTCGTCCAATGCCTTCGCCTGCGGTGCCAGTCAGAACTCGGGCAACGTGCTGACAGACCGCCCGACGACATCGCTGCACGCTCCCCCGGGAGGTCATTCAACCATTTGCCTGGCAGCGGGCGCATGCACCGCAGACCGCCTGCCTCCACAACAAGGTGTCACCGCGGGCGGACAGAGCACAGTATGCTTGGGTACCGATGCCAGTCTGCCACTTACGGCGGGGCTTGGCATCAGCACAAGTAGCCATCGGTTTTGCGCGGTCTCTGAACGCATGAGGTGATTGGATGGTCTCCTCAAGGGCAGTTGGCAGCGCAAGGAAGGCGATGCCACATGAGACCGTTGCGACCGAGGACTCGCTGTGATTGCTGTGACACTGTGTCGTCGCCGTGCCGCAGCCGTGAAACGGGCGTGTTGTGGGCGTGTTGCGGGTGTTTTGCAGAAGCATGGCAAAGGCTAACGCAGACAGAACACGTGCAACCCAGGAGGAGGAGATTGCACAGGAGGAGCTTTCCGAGAAGGATGCCCCAGAGGTGCGGGCCAAAATGGGTTTGAAAGATGCTTTTGGGATGTCTTGGGAGCTTTTTGTTGGTTCACAGGATTGAATGTGGGTTGAATAAGCCATGAACGGAGTGACGAAGTGACACGTCATTGACGTAAACGTACAGTACGAGGAGGTTATGAGTGCGCACTAATATGCTCACACGCAGCGCCCGAAACCCCAGCTGGTGAAGAGTTTTGGTTTTGGTTTAGTAGTGATCATATTGAGGCCTATTGTGACACTTTATGACAATGTCGGTAGAGCCAACAGTTAACGAGTCAATAGGTTTTCGGCGCTTGCCAGATTTTGTCGGGTGTCGGCAATAGCTGTTTGAGATGGCTGGAGCGGTTTTGAGACGTGACAGATTGCTTGCGTTCCTCGACAGGGAGGCGTCACCGCGGGCGGAAACAGCACAGTATGCTTGGGTACCGATGCCAGTCTGCCGCTTAGGGCGGGGCTTGGCATCAGCACAGGTAGCCACCGGTTTTGCGCGGTCTCTGAGCGCATGAGGTGATTGGATGGTCTCCTCAAGGGTAGTTGGCAGCGCAAGGAAGGCGATGCCACATGAGACCGTTGCGACCCAGGACTCGCTGTGATTGCTGTGACACTGTGTCGTCGCCGTGCCGCAGCCGTGAAACGGGCGTGTTGTGGGCGTGTTGCGGGTGTTTTTGCAGAAGCATGGCAAAGGCTAACGCAGACAGAACACGTGCAACCCAGGAGGAGGAGATTGCACAGGAGGAGCTTTCCGAGAAGGATTCCCCAGAGGTGGGCGTACAATGTCGAAGTTTCTGGGGCCATACCGATGCTGTGAGAAACCATTTGATGCCAGGCGGTGCAGAACGTTGAGACCTGCAAGGTGGGCTCGGCATGTCCCGGGGCCACGTTCGGCCCGTCCGGCCCGTCTGCCAGGTGAAGGGAAGCGACCGAAGTCGTGTCCAGGCGCGGGATTGGATCGCTGGGATCGCTGGGATCGCTTGGATCGCTTGGATCGCTTGGATCGCTTGGATCGCTTGGATCGCTTGGATCGCTTGAGCGTTGCGCGGGGCAAATCGCAGGAGTTGCCAACGCCGATTCGCGCACGGGCGCCTCCTGGCGGGGCCGGGCCGCCGAGAGTCCAGGTTCCAGCTGTGAGTGTGGAGACAGACCGAGGTGGCGACCGTGCTGTTGGGCTGACGGTAGCCAGGTAGCCCTCTTTAATTCACGGCTCTTGGAGCCTAATTTGACGCGTGCATGCGAGACGCAGATTGGTGGCGCCGATGATCATTTGGCCTCCCTTATCCGCCGAACGGCTTCAGCCGGCGCAGGGCATGGAAAGCAGTTGCATTTGGCCCGGATGGCAGTCACACGAATCGAGCTTTGGCAATTTGCACTCTTGCCTTGTGTACTTATGTCTCTGAGCATGGAGGCCTGATTCTGTGCTGCGCGGGAGAGAGCGGATGTTCTTCCAGATCACGGATCAGGCACAGTTGGCAGGGGGGTGGAGACTTTGTGGGTCGGATGATGTTTGAGTGTTTTGCTGCGCACGCAGCATACCGCAAAGTGGAAGCAGCACATTGGCAACATATTGACTCAACGGCCAGCAATTGCCCGTGGTTTCAAGCATTTTCTACAACCTCAACATGTTTGCCTTGGGGTGGGTGGGGGGTAGGGGGTGTTTCTCTTTTGTTCTGTACTTGGTTCATAGCATTCCACCTGATGCAATCCGCCTGCCATGTTTTGGTGCAAGGCCTGCGTTACTTGTAGCTAGCAGAAGTTAGGAAAACACGCGCGCTTTGCTGATTGTTGTACATTGCACAATGGCTTTCATCAAGAAGCCGTCTTCGACCTCTTCCATTGTCATATGTATTTCTGCATCGGAACCTTCGAGGTGTATATTCCGGGGTCGCTGGACCCCCCTATTTGCCACCTCAGTTGTGGTAGCGGAGCAGTTTCTCCGAAAGCAGAATGTCGAGTGACCCTTATGGGACAGAGCCACCCGCAGCGGCTTTCCTTGGAAGTCGTCGCAGCGGCGTGAGGCCCAATGAAGAGACTATCAACCTTTTGCCTCCATCGTGCGACGGCCGTGTTAGTTGGCTTCGGTGTGAAAATCTGGTAAGGGATTGGATTATGTTCACAGCAGTAGACACTGCAAGACAAGGCCCCCTTCCCAAGAACCGGCTCGTCGAAGACGCAGCCATGTACCGCGAACTCCTGGACAATGAGAACTCACAGATCCAGAAACAGGAGTGGAGTAGAGAATTTTCTCAACTTCCTACGCGGCTATTTCTTGAAAGGTGGCCAGGATGCTTTTTGTATAGATTCCTCAGTCATCGCCGAGGCAACGGTGAGTTTGTGACCACCTTCATCAGCAAATTCGACGTTCTCCTGCGAAGGCTGCGAGAATCTTGGGAAGACACAGCTCCAGAATATACCCAGGCATCGACTCGAACCAAAGAACGCGTGCGCGGCATAATCAAAGAATTGCCGAATCGGCGACCATCATGCAGGGGCTGCCGCAAGGAGCAGCAGCACCCATAGTGTCTGACCCAGACTACCTGGACCCGACCAGTCCGGCGAACTTCGACCAATTTGGCAGAGGTTAGAGACAAGAGCGTTCGCAAGCTTTTCCACTGTCAGACAACAGTCTGACATTCTTCATCGTACAGAGTGAGACTGGCCTCGTCGTGAGTGAGTGAGTGAGTGAGTGAGTGAGTGAGTGAGTGAGTGAGTGAGTGAGTGAGTGAGTGAGTGAGTGAGTGAGTGAGTGAGTGAGTGAGTGAGTGAGTGAGTGAGTGAGTGAGTGAGTGAGTGAGTGAGTGAGTGAGTGAGTGAGTGAGTGAGTGAGTGAGTGAGTGAGTGAGTGAGTGAGTGAGTGAGTGAGTGAGTGAGTGGGTGGGTGGGTGGGTGGGTGGGTGGGTGGGTGGGTGGGTGGGTGGGTGGGTGGGTGGGTGAGTGAGTGAGTGAGTGAGTGAGTGGGTGAGCCAAAGAAGCCTGGCCCAAGGAGCCTGGAAGAAACGAGGCCAAGGATCAAGCCGTTTTGACCAGGCGAGAAAAACAGGTATCTTCATTGACCCTCATTTGAGGCACGCAACTCTCTCAGTATACCTATGAGACCATAAGGCCCAGCGCTACGACCTTTTCTTCCACACCAGAGCATTGCTTTGCGTTGACTAGAGGTGATAGATCTCGTTCGTCAGGCGCAACGCGTGAGTCCTGAATTTGAACTGCTCTCCTGACATGTGGTGATGTTGCAGGTGGAGTTTCCTCAGTTCTTCTGGTTTTGAGAGTCGCGCGCGTGTGTGTGTGTGTGTGTGTGTGTGTGTGTGTGTGTGTGTGTGTGTGTGTGTGTGTGTGTGTGTGTGTGTGTGTGTGTGTGTGTGTGTGTGTGTTTGAGCGCGCGTGACAAAGTAGCTGGTGTTTAGGTGGAGCATCTGTTGATGCTTCTTGTGGCGCGGTATCACTGGCGCGCCGGCGTGGCGCTGGAACGACCCTGCGTTGTCTGCGTGTATTTGCGCTGCTGTGAGAGGTTTGTTAGAGAACTTGAAGGTTGTGGAGTTGCCTTGGTTCGCCAGTTATCTTCAACTGAAAATAGTGGTTCCTTTGTCTCTGGTTGACATATTGTGAATCTCTGGTTGAATATCTGTGCGTGCGCAAGGGGACAAGTTTTGCTTGTGCCAGGCGCGAACAATGCTCTTCCTCTTGGACACATGAACTCTTTGGAGTTTCTTGGTGGTGTGATTAATTATCCGACAGTCGCTGTTGACATGTCCGATGGTCTGTGTCGTGTCTGCCGCCGAGCCGGTGCTGGAACTGGCGGCGCGGTCCCTCTGGCGCTGCCTCGGCTGGATATGCTGCGGCTAGCAGCGAGGGGTGTGCAACTGGCTTGATCTTGCCGTCGTCGAAAGCCTTGGTCGCCGTCCTGCGGTCGCGTTGTTTACAAAAGGCTGTTCGATCAAACAATGCGTGCCACGACTGGAAACCGGAAGGTGTTGTCCTCATGACGCAATCCGTCTGCGCATTACTTGTAGCTGGCAGAAGTTAGGATGGTACCAATTACTTTCATCAGGAAGCCAAACACTGCGAATACACTTGGTCTTCGACCTCTTCCATTGACATATTTATATCTGCGTCGGAGTAGGTCCACACCAGGGACCTACGAGGTGTATATTCTGGCGTCGCTCGGGCCCCCTTATTTACAACCTCGGCGAAGGGGGTGCTCAGCCTTGGTTCGCGGAGCGAGCAACCTTGCTTTCCCCGAAAAAAGGTGAGCCCCGAGCTTTAGTGGTCAAGATAAGAACCTGATGCCTGATGGATTGCTGAGTGGTTGCACGGTATGGCGAGAGCAAGGCTTTTCCGTCTACGTTTGAGTCTGAGTCAAAGAAGATCCTTGATGCGCAATGTCATGGTGAGCATGTCTGATTGCATGAAGGCTGGTTCAAAGCAGAGCGCAAAACAGATAAAAGATTCTTGTGACCGTGTGACCAAAAGGTCACTCTCAGACAAGTTGGGATCCTTCTTTGAGCATGAGTGTACAAACTCGTTGCAACCTGCTCGAATTCGCACACAGATGGCGTCCCGGCTTGCAGCCAGAACAGCGCAACGGCGAAATCCACGAACATGTGCTGGCCGTAAAGCCAACATGTTGTACCCCGATTGCTGTCCAAGACACTCGCGCGGCGACAATGTGTTGGTGTCAACAAGACAGTGTCATGCTGCATATAGCCAGGGAATCCAAACATGCAGCTCATGATCAAGAGCTGTTCACAACTTGTCACGAAGTGACAGTGACAGCAAGGATTGGCACAGCCGCCAAGATTGGTGCAATGCCGCCGCTGTCGGAGATTGTGTGAGACATGTCGCGCTTGTCAGGAAAAATGAATGGAGGAAGGGCCGGAACTGCAGGGCACACGGTGTGCCTTCGTCGCATTAAATGCGCTTCGAATTTGGCAGGGCCCAAATCGATTGGATGCATGCCTGTCACTATTAACCTGCGATTGCGGGTGATGTACCCCCTTTCATGGCCTTGGACAGTGATAGGACTTGCGCTGGGCTATGCCTATGCTCTCCATCGGTTGGGTTCCTGTAAACTGTATGGGAAAGCATGCACCCATTATCCCCCGGCACCTATGTACCCTGCTTGTCAGAAGGATGTTGATGCCAATGTGAAGTCTTAGTTGTTTTGTAAGATGTTGCTAATGATGGCGTGGTGTTTTGGTTCCTTTTGTGGCTGAACATGTGTTATTTCGACATGGTGTCTTGGTTGTTGTGCCATGGGACGATGGGTATGGTGACGCGGTGTCGTGGTCGGCCTGCGATTGAAGTCCGGTCAGGTTCTTGTCAGGTTCACGTCACACACGTCGTGTCTTTCTTGTTTCGGAAAGATTGGTCATGTTGACGTGGAGTCCTGCTTTTTGTGCTTTGGTTGCTTTGCGGTTGCATGTAGCCCCTCAGCTCAATTTCCGAATTGTTTCAGTCTTCAGTGTGGTGCGTCTCCTGGAGTGGCTTTCTCATTCATGCGCTACATCCTCGCCTGTCGCTCAGGTATGGTCCTGTGACAGGTTTCCAAGTTTGTGTTGCCACACGACTTGTTTTCTCAAATTCACCCAGATCTGTTGAATGAGCGCCTGCAGGTGGGAGTGGGTGAGAGGCATCGTATCCTCCGACGATACGCTCTTGGTGGCAACATCCGCTGGGCCTGCCTACGTGATGACGGTGCTTTCGGTCTTTTCATGGCAGTGGCTCACTTTGTCGACGGCTTCGTGCCCGACTCCGAGGTTAGAAAAGGTGGAGCTTTTCCTGCGCAGGCCGATCAAAGATAATCTGACGTCTCTTGTTGTTGCTCTTCCTGTTCAACGGACATGCGGAGACTGCAAGCAAAACATGATTGCCACTCCTCCCCGTTCAGTGGACTCTGAGCTGTGGCTCAAGGGACCCCTTCAGATCGGGAACCGTGCAGCCATGGGGCCCGACGGGATCGTGAACTTGTTTCTGCAGTACGTTTTCCGTCCTCTTGATCATCTACTGCACTCCAAGGACCGGTCTCAATGTCAAAGTCTCTTTATGCGGCGAAAGCATGTAGCATCTTTAGAACGACTTGATGCGGGCAAGCTTGCAGAGAGCTCCGCCAGACACACTGCCACGCATTGGGCAATTTAACTGATGGTGCCGGACTTTGTACAAGCCTTGGGGTGTTAGTCGAAGTGGTTTCGGTAACGGTATCACTGGAAATGACTCTCACGGGCGTGTAAGCATTGCTCAAAGTCGGGTCTGTCTCAAAACTGGAGACAGTCTTGGTTTCAAAAAGGACACCAAGCAAAGCCTTCCATTTTGCGGGCCCATGCATTTGAGAAAATTGTGTTGATCCCTCAGGAAAAGCAAGCTGGTTGAATTGACTGCTTTGCTTGAACTTTAATTGCCAATTGTGGGTTGGGCCTGTCCAACTGTGAGTTGGGCTAGTTGTGGACTCGATGTCAGCCAGTTGGAATCTGTTTGCGCGGTAAACAAGCACCAAGAGTGGATCCTGTCGAGCTGGACAAGCGCTGCGCCCAGATAGTTGGGCCAGGCGAAAAATGAGATGGTGAATATTGCCAGGAAACAAGTCAGCAGGTTGATAGCCAAGTAGCATGACAGCTGAGGATGTATTAACCATTATAGAACCTCCGGAAAAGCCGGCAAAGCCGCGGCGGAAGTTTCAATGATATCAAGAACCATAGTTTGGAGCATGCTTCTTTGCTCCTGCTCTCGCTCTCTCTCTCTCTCTCTCTCTCTTTCTCTGTCTCGTTCTCTTTCTTTGCCTACTTCTCTCTGAATTCCTTGTTTGTAAGAAGATCCCTTGGTTTCGGTCGCAGGCTGACTAAAATCAGCCAAAATACGTATCAATATTGGGTGCTTCAAAGGCTTTAGCTGCAATACTCGGCCCCCTTCAAGCCAGATTTTAGCACAAAGTGTAGGAGGGCCGCTTGCAATGGGGCAAGGAGAGAAAATGTCATTTGCAGAACTGCAAACTGCATCAACCACCTTGATATACAGAGCGAGAGAGAGAGAGAGAGAATCAAGTCAACCTCCGCTCTTTTGTATTAGACTTATATTCAGTACTATGACCTTGCTGTTTTGTGTAAACAAACCAATTTTGTTTCAACCAGAGATCAATGCGTATCACGTTCCACGGGACCTCCAGGCCGGTGCGTCAAGCCTCAAAGGGATCTCGTGAAGTATCCCTTGGTGCGCGCAAGGGGAGCACCCTTCTTCCACCCATGGAAGTCCACAGAGGGCGTTGGGAAGACCATAGTCTTCCACATGGGTTACTTTTCTTCAGACACCTGTCAGATTTTTGCCTAAGTGGACATGGCGGGGACCTTACGTCCCACGCAAGGACCGGTACAGCCCCCGGTTCGCCTTTCTGGCGCCTGTGGCGACGCCCTTCAACATCTGCCGGAAAGCCCTGAACACCCACGGCCTGTACCCATGGCCCGCATGCCCCGCCTGGAGCTTCATGGGCCGCGCGGTGAGAACATGGAACGTTGACCCCCAAGAACCTTGCGAACTCCTGTCATAACATGTCATAACATATCAGAATATAGTGGACATAGTGGCTTGCCAGTTGCACTGACCATATTTTTCACCTGCAACGCCTGAACTTCATGGCCATGATGCCAGCGCCAAGTCTTAACGCGTGAGTTAACTGCATGTCGTTTGTCACACACACACACAGGCTTTGCGCAACTCTACAACAAGTAGTTGACGCGTGTCCAGTCGGGGTTTAGGTGTGGAAGTTACACCAAGCCCTATGCGTATTAGGGGCGGCTCAAGACTCTACAATGCTGTGAGATTCGGAAAGAGTTAGCGGCTTTCATCGGGTTATGTGGCCTGGGTGTCAAACAGGTTGTCAGTCGTCATGGTTCCTTCGTGCCCGCGGTACAGTAGTATCCGTGATGGCAGCGATACGAATCAAGCTTTGTTCCTGCAATGGCAAGCTCACGGCCCGAAATCCAAATTTTGCTTCGACTTCGAACAGGTGACAGAATTTGCTTAGGCTACTGCTCCAAGTGCCCCGGGGCCTCTGCCTATTGGTGCGTGGAGTGCGACACTCGGCTCTGCGCGGGCTGCGCCGCACGGCTCCACCACCCGGGCCTCTACTCGGAGCATCACTCGGTGGAGCCCCTCGAGAAGCGCAAGACCCAGGCGAGAAAAGGGCGAGACGGCGCTCGGCGCTCGGGTCTGCGGAAGCCAAAAGACACCAACCGTTTTAAAGGCACGGAGGCGAACGAGCCCTCTCCGCGCTTTCTGGTCATTTGGATCTGGCTCAAAAGGGTTGGTCTCCTAGTCTTGGCTTTGAGAGGGGACCTTCCGACGTTTCTATTTGTGTAAAGTGACTTGTGCGTTGGGTTACTTGTACTCTGTTCCATGCTGAGCCACTCGTGTCCCGACCAAGGACCATTGCTGCAAATGTAGCACGAAGCACTGTGTTCAGGGCGGGAACTATTGACCTGGGGCCACGCATCGAGGGTGGGTGGGTGGGCTTCGCAGTCGGATGTCGCGACAAGTGACACGTTCCCAGATGTGCACTCTGAGCAACCATTGTATTAAACAATAATAGGTAATCATCTATCACTTAGGGTCAACGGCTTCAGGTGCTGGGCCTGCTGATGAGCAACTTGCTGGTGATCAGCTTCGCGGTCTACATGATCTCTTCCATCAGCACTTTGTCAAGTCCAACATCCCCTTTGCTCATTTTGCTCACTGGGAAGCACTGTGGAACAGCGTATGTGTTACTAGCCCCTGACCATTGGGCTCGGCTTGTGGAGGTTGGTTTTGAGGCCCCTAACGAATTCTCGGAGGTATTGGGCCCGACTACCTCTCTTCCGCAGACATGTGCCCCGTGATCACCAAAGCTCGCTCTGTGGCAGCCAGCGTGGACTCCAAGGTCTTCTACTACTACAAGGCCCGGGTGCCGAGTGGGGGACTCCCTTGGTTTGCATGACAGACTGGGATTCACCCAGGGTGAAGTTGTGCGATCTGAATTCCGGCTGGTAAAACAACCGTTTCTAGTTCCGTGCAACAGAAGCAACTATTTTTCACAACATGGAGACATCCCCTATGTTCAGCTGGGTTGCATGTTGGACGCACAAACAAATTGACATAAATCGAGTTGTTGGCTGCCGAGGCCGATCTTACCAGGTATTGCAATATGGAGGATTCATTTTACAAGTTCTTCTTGGATGGGTGGGTGAGAGGCATCGTAACCTCCTCCGACGATACGCTCTTGGCAGCAACATCCGCTGGGCCTGCCTACGTGATGACGACGGTGCTTTCCGTCTTTTTGGTGCCTGTTGCAGCTTCCATCTACGCGGCGCTCATGGCAGTGGCTCACTTTGTCGACGGCTTTGTGCCCCACTCCGAGGCTTTAGAAAAGGTGGAGCTTTTCCTGCGCAGGCCGGTGGAAGATTGGGAACCCCGCTCCCTTACAGAGGGTTGGTCTCCCATTCAGCCTCCTTCGCTCTCCTTTTTCATTGTGCCTCCTTCCCCGTCCAAAGCCATAAGAGGGAGAAGAATGCCCCCTGCTGGAATCCACATTTTCCTGATGGTAGGTGGTGCATGCATGTCTAATTCAACCTTGCCCCCGGAATTCATGTTTGCTTGAACTTCCCTTTGAATCAGGTTTCCAGGGTTGACACTGATAACAAACATTCAGTTCGCCTTGGATGACTTGTACATTTGGCTCAAGATAAAAGGAGGGTCGCGCGAGTGAAGCTTTCTGTGCCGCCATTGCACTTTTTGGTTACACTCTTCACTTCATTTGTCTTGATTCGTATTTCGTCTGGTTATCAGCCGTAGCTTTTGAGCTGCGACCGATAGCTACGGCGGGTGAGGGCGTCGAGCATCCGGGAGTGGCACCGGAACTGTGGAACCTCTTCGGTTGGCATCGAGCCGGACGAAGAGGCAAGTCACAGAAACTTGGTGTACTACGTGACGGATTGGCCGAGGGGGTTTTATCAAACGAACCTCCATTTGTGCTGGATAGCACCTGGGACAGGCTTGCACGTGCAAAAGTCAACTGGGAACAGCTACAGCTCTACGAACAGGCCTTTTGGAACGAGCAACAGCGTCTGACTGAGGAGCCCCAGAATCATCGGGTGTCTTTTCGGGTTGTGAAGGCAGCGGATCGATCTGCTCCTCTTAGGCTTGTGCAGCGCGAGTCGCTCCGAGCCGAAGAGCCTGCATCGTCATCTGCGGAGCCTGTGCAGCACAGATTGCTCCAGGCGACCAGCAAAGCTGCGTCGAGGCCAGAGAGCACTTCACGTACGCCGAGGCGCGCTGAGCCTTCCGGGCATCACTTCGCTGCGGTGATTTGTGATTTGACTCTTGCCACAGGAGTATTCAAGTGTGTGAACAACAATTGGGAAGATCAAGGATTGTCCTTTGTCTACGAGCCGCGCTACGGCATTGACTTTCGGGACAGTTGCGTGGTTGCAATCGACTATCACCAGGTTCTTGACAGAGCCTGTTGCGGACGCACAGAGTGGGATTACGAAGGTATTTGCCACGACAACCTCGAAGCGATTAGACAGCTGAAAGCCGCTTTCTTTCGCGAAGGTATCCACGTTGTGACAATCTGCCTATCCTACCTCCATAGCCAAGAACGCCGAGACGCATTGGTTGCTGCGTTCAATCGCACTCCGGATATCTCATCAGTTTTTGACTTCATCGTTACAACTTCTGAAAGGGCCAGTTTCAATCCCAGGACCCAGAAAGGTGGGAAGGTGCTAGCCCTTCAGGATCTGCTGTCAGTTGGATTCCGCTCGGC